ACACGAACACTCACCAAAAGTGCTGTGTGTACAAGAAACACACCTTAATTCAAAACACACAAATTTTCTTCGTAAATACGTTATTTTTCGAAAGGACCGTGATGATGCCATGACATCATCCGGAGGTGTTGCCATCATAGTGAATCAAGGAATTGCATGCACACACTTACAATTCCAAACATCCCTTGAGGCAGTGGCTGTTCGAGCGGTTCTTTTTGACAAACTGATCACAATCTGTACTATTTACATACCTCCTAGCTATCAGCTGCAAAAATGTGATTTACACTCTTTAATTGATGAACTTCCGGAACCTTATGTTCTCCTTGGAGACTTTAATGCGCATAGCAGGCTATGGGGTGACTCCCGGTATGACGCGCGAGGTCGACTGATCGAACAGTTCCTTCTCTCGTCGAGCGCGTGTCTCCTAAATCGAAAAGAACCAACATATTATAATCTCGCCAATAACACCTACTCCTCCATAGACCTAAGCATAGTATCTCCATCTCTTGTGCCTCTACTCCAGTGGAAAGTCGTCAGTAATCTGTATGGAAGTGACCACTTCCCCGTAGTTTTGAGCACAAATACAGCAACTGAGTGTCCACCACGTGTTCCCAAGTGGCTCATAAACAGAGCCGACTGGGAACAGTTTTATACCATCGCTCGTCTAGGTTGGAATGACATATGTACTTTGAACATTGATGTTGCTGTCAACTTCTTCACAGCGTTTTTGATTGATGCTGCAACAAAATGCATCCCACAAACAAATGGACACCCTGGAAAACGGCGTGTGCCATGGTGGAACTCTGAATGCCGAAACGCGCGCAAACAGCAAAACAGAGCTTGGAGGCTGCTTCGGAACTCACCGACAGCCGAAAATCTTGACACCTTCAAGAAAATAAAGTCTCAAGCTAGGAGAACGCGTCGGCAGGCAAGAAGAGAAAGCTGGCAGAAGTTTTTGTCAGGGATCAATTCGTACACACAAGAGGCCAAAGTCTGGAACATGGTCGGTAGGATAGCAGGGAAAGAAGTACACACACTTCCACTCGTAAACACTCAAGGTGATACCTTGGAAGATCAGGCAAACTTCCTCGGTGCACACTTCGAACAAGTATCCAGCTCGTCCCACTATACTGACACTTTCCAAAAATACAGAACAAGAATAGAAAAGCAGAAACTCGAACAGAAATCCACTAGATACGAGGCATATAACCAAGGTTTCAGTCTAGCTGAGCTCCGAACATCTCTAAACTCCTGCAGTACTTCTGCTCCAGGTTCTGACTGTGTGATGTATGAAATGTTAAAAAACCTACCAAACGAAACCCGAAAGACCTTACTTTGTTTGTACAATGCTATTTGGTCTTCTGGCACTATTCCTACCTCCTGGAAAGAGGCTATTGTTATTCCCATTTTGAAAGAGGGCAGGGACCCTTCTTTACCCTCGAGTTATAGGCCTATAGCACTTACAAGCTGCTTGTGCAAAGTCTTCGAAAAAATGATAAACTGCCGACTTGCAAATTTTCTTGAAACAAATAATTTGCTCGACCCATTTCAGTGCGGGTTTCGAGAAAGTAGATCCACCACAGACCACCTTGTTCGTATCGAGGCACAGATCAGAGACGCCTTCGTCCATAAACAATATTTTCTCTCTGTGTTCCTCGATATCGAAAAGGCTTATGATACAACATGGCGTTTCGGAATTCTAAGAGACCTGTCCCACCTTGGTGTGCGCGGAAGAATGTTTCATATAATTGAAAGTTACCTGCCAAACCGGACATTCCGTGTCCGTCTGGGCAGTGCGCTCTCTCAAACATTTGTCCAGGAAACAGGCGTGCCACAAGGTGGTGTGCTTAGTTGCACACTTTTTATTATTAAAATGAATTCTTTGCACTTGTCCATTCCCCGCAATATGTTCTATTGTACATATGTCGACGACGTTCAGCTTAGCTTCAAGTCATGCAACTTGGCCATGTGTGAGAGGCAGGTTCAGCTGGGTTTAAATAAGGTCTCCAAATGGGCAGATACAAACGGATTTCGACTTAAGTGAGGGTATCAATTTGCACCTGCGTAGTTGGGAACGAGCACAAATGAAGCATAATATTTGCCTATGATGGCGCCACAGACTTACCATGCAAAATAGGTCTATGGCCACAAACAAAAACACCAGACAATGAAACCGTAATATCAGTCCTAAACTAGCACTTCCTCGTAGAAGCGAGGCATGAACGGTGGTCTCACAATGTTCTTAGCGATGGACCGGTTTCAAAAAGTAATACCTAGATCATTGGTTCAGACAGTATTTCAAGACTGCAGGTTGAAGAAAAGGTGCCAACACAGTAGCCGTGTTCTGGCTGGACACCCATGAAAGAGCTCATGCTTGAAGCCTGACAGCTCGGCGTGCCCCCGGGCACAGGAAGTTTCCAAGGAACCTGTCACAAACGCGCTGTCATGGCGATTAGCGAGTTGACAACATGTCATGCCCGGAGTAAATTGTCATGTACGTACATGTCGTTCCGGGCAAAGCAAGAAGACATTCAGTTCCACATCTAGAAGGAATATGTGGAGTGTCGTTGGCTCAGAAGGCTGTGTGGAGAGCTCATTTCCCTCGGGGGAAGAGATCACTCCACGCAGCCTTCCAACTTTTTGTCGTCAAAGTCCAAAACTCTCCTATATCGACCCACAAATTGGGGATCCGAACCCTAAAACTGGAAACCACTGGCCGACATCAGCATTAGGCGGCACCCGGCATTGGGGCTGAAGGTGGCGAGGGAGGACTGCGTACGTGGTCTGGGCATGATAATCGGAGCTGATGAACAGAACAGCCGCACGATCGACCGTCTGACTTTCAAGACGGAAGGGGTCATCCGACTAACCTCACGCATCTCAAACAGTCAGAGTGGTCTTCGAGAGGCGGACCTCCTCAGACTGTTCCATGCATTTTTGTTGATCCACATAAGCTATGTCGTATACATCCACAAGTGGTCACACCATGAGGGAAATAAAATGAACATGCTCTAAGGAAACGCATCAAGGGAGTCCTTGGCATTGCTATGCGCACAAGCACCGAGAACCTTATGAAACTTGGGGCCCAGAACATGCTTCATGAAGTCGTCGGGGCTCAACAAATGGCACAGGTTGCCAGGCTTTCACTCACATCTGCATCAAGGAAAGCTTTGGCTGACACTGTACTCAACGGTGTTATCCTCGAAGTGCGAAATGCGTCACTTGATGATTGTATGTGCTTTCACATCAAAGTGTGTCCCCTTCCACAAAATATCCACTCACAGCACAACGTGTGCAGGCGTGTTGATCGAGCCTCCTGTCTTTTAGCTCACGCTCACGCCCACTCGTCTGTTTCAGGCTTTGTCGATGCCGCACAGCGTGACACTTCCGCTCACTCTGCGGTAGTATACGTAGATACTAAAGGTAAGAGTTTATCCTCAGCGTCGGTTCGAACCACTTCTTACAAAGCAGAGCAGATGGCCGTTGCACTTGCTCTCCATGATCCACAGAGAATCGATATTGAAACAGACTCAGAATTCACTTCTAGGGCCTTCACTTCTGGTCACGTGTGCAATGAAGTTTTTGAAACTCTCGCTTTCAAGAAACTCACTCACCGCACTGTTATTTGCTTTCCTGCTCATGTTCGGTTGAAAGTCGGGGGCCTTCCAAATGTCAACGGGCTAGCCCACTCCAAGGCATAAGTCTTCACTTCAGCGCCAGGACTTGCGCTGCTCAGAGTAATCAGCCTCCAGCCTTCATTTTCGGGGCATTTTGACTATATTCATTGAGGCAACAAAGCACAATGAAATGGATCATAGGTCCATGTCACTGCTACACGAAAAGTTGTCCGGACCACAGGCAATCTCCCTTCACATGCTTACGATGAGAACACAGCACAGCCTCGTAACCTATAGTCAATGCTGCGACATTTCAGAACATTGTCCGGACTGCCACGACCGCAGTGATTTTAGCCACATTCTCTGGGTTTTTCCCTCTTTACAAGGAAAGGATAAAGAATTTTGTGAACATACTTCTCATTTCATGCTCAAGAGCGCAGTACTCCTAGAACAACTCAAGGCTGTCCAGAAGGCCTTCGACGTGGTGATCAGGCTATGCCTCTCCGTTCCTACATGGGAGCGACTTGCGATACACCTCCTATAAAATAAGCGTGGAATCCTTTAGGACCTCAATAAAGTTTTTCATTCAATTTTCCAGCGCTCCTGCGACTTTCCCTGTGCCCCACCACGGTAGTCTAGTGGCTAAGGAACTCAGCTGCTGACCAGCACGTCACGGGATCGAGTTTCGGCTGTGGCGGATGCATTTTCGATGGAGGCGATAATGCTGTAGGCCCGTATGCTCAGATTTTGGTGCACGTTAAAGAACCCCAGGTGGTACGAATTTCCGGAGCCCTTCACTAAGGCGTCTCTCAATATGGTGGTTTTGGAACGTTAAACCCCACATACCCATCAATCAATGCAACTTTCCTCGTTCTTCACTTCTTCTCGAGCTTGCAAGGTGCATTTTCAACATTCGTGTACGTCACTGACTCCACGCTCCCACGTTCAAATGCACATATATACCCTATAAAGTGAACAGGAGGATGACCATTGTCGTATCTCAGTGGTAGAGTATCGGAAGCGTTCTTCGAAGGTTGCAGGTTCAGTCATTACCGCTGACGAGTTATCTCCCGGTCCGCTTTTCGTACTTCACATTTACATTACAATTACTTTTAATACCACTCCCTATATTGTTGCTATCATTGTTGGTTGTAATGATTCTCAGTAAAATACAAGGGCACACAAGTCGCAAAGAGCAGTGTTCGCCTTCAGATACGCATGACACGTTGAAATGTACAATTGTCGTTTTGCTGATGTTGCGATGGTTGTTCAAATTTCAGTGAAAATAGTTCAACCACTCACAGCTAGTTGTCACAACAGTGGACGCTACTATAGTGTACAAATGCGGAGGTTCGGTTTTAAGGAGGTGTTGTGGCTGTGCAGGAGGTTGCTACCCCGGCATCGGAAGATTACGACCTGTTGAGTGATCTTGAGGACCTGAGCATCTCAGGTGGACCGAATGAGCACGTAAGTCAACCCAAATGTGACTAAATTATACCGCCGTTATGGTAATTAGGTTTCATCTATGTCAGGAAACTTTATACGCGAATCGCGCTCGTCTTGTGTCCTTCCTTTATTCTTTGTTTTTGTGCTGTTTACCTCGACCAGTCATGAACGTCCCTATATTTGACTGTTTTGTGAGCAATTTGTGTGTGTGTGTGTGTGTGTGTGTGTGTGTGTGTGTGTGTGTGTGTGTGTGTGTGAGAGAGAGAGAGAGAGAGGGAGAGAGAGAAAATGACACTTCGACAACCCATATTTTAAGGTTTTCCACGTTAGAACCACCTCATTGCTGTCGGTGGGTGGAGAAGTCTATCATTTCCGTGAAACAGACGGTAGCTTCTAGTCTTGAATAATTGGTGGACGTGAGAGGTATTTTTATGCTTAATAAGTCAGCGAGCGGTATTTTGATGTGTTTTCGGTAATTGGTATTCCTTGAGCGAAATATTATAGGTGTTTTTATTGGGCCAGATGAAAGTTGTTAATGCGTAAATAATTTTTCTGATTAATTTTTCTGAAGCATTTTTTGAGTGGTACTTAAATTTGATGCGTTTTCAGTAGCTGTTGTTTTATAACCACGGGTTATTTTTTTTTTATTTGTGACTTCAATGAGCCAGCAGAAAGAACCATTCATTGCTCACGTGGTTTCTAGCACACCAGCAACATGTGGAGTTGTTAAGACTATGTTGCGCTGCGGCGGCACTCCACAGAACGAAACTATTTCGGTTCACCATGTCCGATTCTCAAAAAATATATACACACAATTGTAATCTTTAAATAATGAACTTTGCTCTAAATAATTACATGGGCAACGTCGCAAGAAATTCGAACATTTCTTATACGTGGGCGCGCACAGGGTTTTCCACGAGAGGGGGCAGCGTGTTACTGCAGCAGCTCCCTCTCCGTTGCCCCCGGTAGTCCTGCTCCAAAGAAAAAAAAAACACGCTTTAAAGCGGATCCTCAAAATAAAATGAAGTGATGCCATGCTGCCCATAGGGGCCAGCCTTTGGTCCCGGCCTTTCTAGGACATGATGTGGGTTGTGAACAGCTGTTATAATTGCTGTGCCAGTTGTCCTCGGCCGCCAGTATGCTCGAAAACTTGCCTGGCCATAACCAGTAACGTAGTAATAACTTTTTTTCTTTAGAAAATGGAAGGTGAGATAAGGTTCAGCGCGTTGTGTGCGTGATTTTCTTTGTAGGGATGCCTGAATACTTACGCAAGTGAAATTTTAAAATTTCGCGAGGGAATCGGACACCTCCTTTTCTATCTGGCTGCATCAGCTGTAGCCAGTCACTTACGCTTTAAACAGGGAGTTTTACGATTCCAACAGCTTTAGAGCAATTGAAAGGAGTAATTGTATGGGAGAGACTTTGCTCCCTTCCCCCCTTCAGGTTATTAGAAAGTGGGGGGAGGGGGGGCTCTTGAGCACGTTTTTATCTTATACAGGTAGCCAGCACTAAGCCTAGCCATTTGGTATATATACCAAATGGATAGGCTTAGTATATATTTGGTATATACCAAATTTATTCTAGTTAACAGGCCTATAGGCCTGTTAACTAGAATAAATTAATTTTAGAAGCCTAGCGAAATCCTTTACACTATACGGTGCTCAATACGCTGTGAAAGAATCTCATTGTCATCATCATATATCATGATTTTTAGGGTCAGCACGTTGCCCCTCAACAAGGAGGCGGCTATGACCAGCCGGCTGCAAGTAGCTCCACGGAAACTCAGTCATCACAGCCTCAACAAGCACAAGTGAGTAGCCTTAAAATGAAGTCATTGTCGAAAACAATATGCATCGGGAGGCACTTTTGTTTGTAAGTCTTAATTAGGGTGGCATTAACACTTTTAATTTGAGAAAACAAGTCGATTCAAGTGAAAAAAAAACAGTGTTTTGTCCTGCTTAAATGGACACTAAATCTGACTGAAAATGTCAATCAGAGTGAAAGGTCAATGCTTGAAAACAATAACATTGCATGCAGCAGACGTTTATAAATCGAGAAATTTAAATGAATGTTACACATGATATGCGCTGTTAGTGGAATAACTTTGGAACACTAACTCGTTGACGTAGTAGGGCATTTGTACAACCACTCACAACTATTCACTCTGCTTAAAACAAAAAGCCCCGCCGCGGTGGTCTAGTGGCTAAGGTACTCGGCTGCTGACCCGCCGGTCGCGGGTTCAAATCCCGACTGCGGCGGCTGCATTTCCGATGGAGGCGGAAATGTCGTAGGCCCGTGTGCTCACATTTGGGTGCACGTTAAAGAACCCCAGGGGGTCAAAATTTCCGGAGTCCTCCACTACGGCGTCTCTCATAATCATATGGTGGTTTTGGGACGTTAAACCCCACAAATCAATCAATGCTCAAAACAAAAAATGAACATTTCTTTTCATTAAACGACTAACTGAAACACAATACATTGTCCATTTCTATGTGGTTCGTTCAAAAAGAGATCTTCTTGACGTTACTGATAAAAGTGTCGAGAGCCGGACGATATCCGGAGACAAACGATTGATAAAGGCCATCAGCACCATGAAAGCAAAGGAAGACATGGTGCCTCGAGAGCCCACGAGAAGCCGAGTCTTTACTTTTTGTGCAGCCCTATCTTTGTGTGCCCCAGCGTGATCCCCACACACACACAATGCTCCAGGGCTGTGTGTTAGCTATTCACTTTGTCGCAGTTAGCCTTCAGAACGAAATATGTCCAATTTGACCTGGGCAGTGATGCGCTGGAGCCTCTTGCTGTACTGTGCTGCAGAACCGGTTGTAAAGCAGTAAGTGTAGTAAAGGGCGGGAACCGCTAAATCACAAAATTATTTTTTAGGCGGCCGGTTTGATTCCTGGAATGGCACGTAGGCAACCCGAATATTACGGTCAGTAAACTAAGCACTTTATTGGTCGGAATGAAGCCCTGCGAGATTTCAGGAACTCTGTTTTAACAATCCGCATCGACGTATTTACCTTTAGCATTCCTTTAAAAATTTCGTTCTGAGTGGTGCGGGGAATGGGTAGTGATTAAACTTTAACCAATATATGTGTTTTAATTATGTAGTTACAGACGTTTGTACAGCTCAAAACAAAGTGTAACGTAGTATTCATGCATTGTACATATCATAGCCAAAAACCTAATTGTGTAGCATGCATTGTAGGATAAGGCTCTCGAAAACGAAATTCATTCAATTATTCTAGATATTTTTATCGTTGAACTCAAACGCCTTGATTCCACCTAATCAACAATAAATAAACTTTTGCGTGCGTGCCTCCCCGCAGGGGCGCCTGCGCAAGTAGGCGTTTGGTGTGTAGCGACACCACGGACCCGAGCTAACGGGGGAGTTTCGGCTCCCTCCCACGCCTAGCCGTGCGTGGCTTTGCCGTGTCCGGGGAAAAGGGGATCCTGGGGGTTGAGCCAATGCTGGGTGATTGGACCTTTAAGGCCCCCCGGCAGAGGCAACACACCCCTTTGGCCCCGGCTTCACGTAGACGGCACCCCTGGGCTGACCCACCCAGGGGAAATCGGCAGTCGCCTTTTCCTATCTCTCTCTCCCTACATCTTCGTCTTTATCTCTTACTGTTTATCTGTCCTGTCTTCTACTCTCTTCTGTTTACTTCCAAACTTCCTGGCGGCGAGGGTTAACCCTGTGCAAATAGCCTACCTTGGTCTAGGCGCATTGGGTTATAGTTGCGTTGTACGGCTGGCGTCTGCAGGTTTTAGCATCCACAAACTTGTAGCGTCCCCTTGTTGGGCTCCGTGGTGGGTGGCCGCCAACGCTTCTGAAGAAAATTAAACTGGCATGCATAAAGCATTTCCCCTATTAAGTGATCGTGCCTCCTCAAAGCGGGTACGCACCGAAGATATCAATTTTTTCCTCCGGCCAAGACAAACCTTTCCTCATTTCCATGTTATACACTGCGAAAAAACTAACAAGCAAGCCAGAACAGTATCCCCCTTCGTAGTGGCTAGGTCCTTAACCGAAACTCTCGGTGCCGGGTACAAGGTTACCAAAATGGCCAGTGGAGATCTACTCCTCGAAGTACGTGACAAAGACCAATTTGATAAACTGAACACCCTCACAACGTTTGGAGACACACCCATCAGTATTACGCCACACAGGTCTATGAACTCATCTCGCGGGGTCGTTTCGGACGCAGATTTGCTTGACCTGACCGAAGCTGAACTTCTTGAAGGATGGAAGAGCGAGAACGTGACAAACGTACAGCGCATTAAGATAAGAAGAGATCAAAAGGAAATACCAACAAAACACTTAGTACTGACCTTTGCTTCGAGCGATTTGCCGGAAACAATTCAGACTGGGTACACAAAAACATCTGTGAGGCCATATATTCCCAACCCCCGCCGTTGCTTCCATTGTCAGAGATATGGCCACGGCTCGCAAAGCTGTCGTGGCCAGAAAACTTGTGCTATGTGTGGAGTCGTGGGCCATGCGTCCGACAACTGCGAAGCACCTGCACACTGTGTAAACTGTGGCGGTAATCATGCCGCGTACTCACGTTCTTGTTCTTTCTGGAAAAAAGAAAAAGAAATCATCACTTTAAAGATAAAAGAAAACATTACATTTAAAGAAGCAAGAAAAAGAGTCTCGCCATTTTATGGCCCTACATATGCTGATGCGGCGCGCCAGGGGGCAGTGTCGCACCAGCCCTCGCCACTCCTTCGGCCTGCGCAGAGCGAGCCATTGGCTGTGGCGCCTGCCCCCAAGGCGGCAGTAGTTGAGTCTACTCCGCCTACTATTGAACAGAGACCAGGGACTCCAGGGTCCTCGGGTCTCAAGGCCTCACCTCGCCAGGCGAGGCCCAAGCTTCGAAAAACCAGCTCGCATGAGCGGGCATCCAGTGCCTCCGAGGAGGCAATGGATACGGCGGCACCTCTGGTGCCAAAAGAGCGGCGCGGCTCTCTGGAGCGCGCCAAGAAAACTAAAAAGCTCATAACAGGGCCTGATAATAGCCCTGCTACTTGAGCTCGACCTTTCAGTTTAAACAAGTCACTCCCTTAACGTACACACAGCACTACTTTACTTCCAATATGGAAACACAAATTATACATTGGAACGTCAGAGGCCTGCTTAAAAACCTCGACGACGTCCAAGAGCTTTTATACAAACACTTACCTCAAGTGCTGTGTGTACAGGAAACACATCTTAAATCCTCCAATACAAATTTTTTACGTGCTTACGTCATATACCGAAAGGACCGAGATGATGCTGTGGCGTCATCCGGTGGCGTAGCCATTATTATTAACCAAGGAGTAGCGTGTACACATTTACCACTCCAGACATCCCTTGAGGCGGTGGCTGTTCGAGCGGTACTCTTAAACAAACTCGTCACCATCTGCTCTTTGTATGTACCTCCCCACCAACGTCTTGAAAAACGTGAATTTCAGTCCCTAATAGACGAACTACCGGAACCTTATTTGCTTCTTGGGGACCTAAATGCACATAGTGGGCTGTGGGGCGATTCTCGCTGTGATGCACGAGGTCGTCTCATTGAACAATTTCTCTTCTCTTCCGGCGCCTGTTTGTTGAATAGGAAAGAGCCAACCTACTATAACGTTGCCAACAAAACTTACTCGTCTATAGACCTCAGCATCGTATCACCTTCACTTCTACCCCTATTGAAATGGAAAATCATAAACAATCCATATGGAAGTGACCATTTTCCTGTAGTGTTGAGTTCACAAACAACATATGAATGTCCTCTACATGTTCCCAAATGGCTGATAAACAAAGCAGACTGGGAACAGTTCCACAACACTACACGTTTGAGTTGGACAGACATATGTAGGTTAAACATAGATGAAGCTGTGAAGTACTTCACAGCTTTTCTAACTGACGCAGCAGCCAGGTGCATACCGCAAACATCTGGAATGCCCGGCAAACGACACGTCCCATGGTGGAACACGGAGTGTCGTAATGCGCGAAAGGAACAGAACAGGGCATGGAGATTGCTGCGCAACTCGCCAACAGCGGGAAATCTTGACACGTTCAAGAAAATAAAGTCTCAAGGAAGGAGAACGCGTCGGCAGGCCAGAAGAGAAAGCTGGCAGAAGTTTTTGTCAGGGATTAATTCATACACACAGGAGGCAAAAGTCTGGAACATGGTCGGTAGGATAGCAGGGAAACAAGTACACACACTTCCACTCGTAAACACTCAAGGTGATACCTTGGAAGATCAGGCAAACTTCCTCGGGGCACACTTTGAACGGGTATCCAGCTCGTCCCACTATACTGACACTTTCCAAAAATACAGAACAAGAATAGAAAAGCAGAAACTCGAACACAAATGCACTAGATCCGAGGCATATAACCAAGCTTTCAGTCTAGCTGAGCTGCAAATGTCTCTAAACTCCTGCAGTACTTCTGCCCCAGGTTCTGACCGTGTGATGTATGAAATGTTAAAAAACCTACCAAACGAAACCCGTAAAACCTTACTTTGTTTGTACAATGCTATTTGGTCTTCTGGCACTATTCCTACCTCCTGGAAAGAGGCTATTGTTATTCCCATTTTGAAAGAAGGCAAGGACCCTTCTTTACCCTCGAGTTATAGGCCTATAGCACTTACAAGCTGCTTGTGCAAAGTCTTCGAAAAAATGATAAACTGCCGACTTGTACATTTTCTCGAAACAAATAATTTGCTCTACCCATTTCAGTGCGGGTTTCGAGAAGGTAGATCCACCACAGATCACCTTGTTCGTATCGAGGCACAGATCAGAGACGCCTTCGTCCATAAACAATATTTTCTCTCTGTGTTCCTAGATATCGAAAAGGCGTATGATACAACATGGCGGTTCGGCATTCTAAGAGACCTGTCTCACCTTGGTGTGCGCGGAAGAATGTTTCATATAATCGAAAGTTACCTGTCAAAGCGGACTTTCCGTGTCCGTCTGGGCAGTGTGCTTTCCCAAACATTTGTCCAGGAAACAGGCGTGCCACAAGGTGGCGTGCTTAGTTGCACACTTTTTATTATCAAAATGAACTCTTTGCACTTGTCCATTCCCCGCAATATGTTCTATTGTACATATGTCGACGACGTTCAGCTTGGCTTCAAGTCATGCAACTTGGCCATATGTGAGCGGCAGGTTCAGCTGGGTTTAAATAAGATCTCCAAATGGGCAGATGAAAACGGATTTCGACTTAACCCACAAAAAAGCACGTGTGTTTTGTTCTCTCGAAAGAGAGGCATGCACTCGGAACCTGACATTCGACTGAACGGGCAACGTCTGTCCGTCAAAGCCGAGCATAAATTCTTAGGCCTAATCTTGGACAACAAGTTGACTTTCGTGCCGTACATCAAGTATCTAAAAACAAAATGTTTAAAAGCCATGAATGTTTTAAAAGTGTTGTCACGTACTACTTGGGGTAGTGATAGGCAATGCCTCATGAACCTCTATAGAAGTCTCATTCGCACCCGCTTAGATTATGGGGCCGTTGTCTATCAGTCTGCTACTCAAAGTGCCTTGAAGATGCTGGACCTCGTGCACCATTTGGGCATCCGCCTTTCTACGGGTGCTTTTCGCACCAGCCCCGTAGAAAGCCTTTACGTTGAGTCAAATGAGTGGTCGCTTCACCTGCAAAGAACCTACATGTCCTTTGTTTATTTCCTTAAGGTGAAAGCAGACAAGAGGCACCCCTCATACTCTACTATAAATGACTTGTCGAGCTCCATTCTTTTTCAAAACAGGCCTTCAATGAGGCAGCCCTTCTCAGTTCGCCTGAAGGGTCTAGCCGAGGACACTGGAGTGTCACTCGAACACAATTTAATGGCTCCTGTAGCATACCCGCCACCGTGGCAGTGGCAGACTATAGATTGCGATGTGTCTTTTTTAGAAGTTACTAAACATGCGCCTATTGCCCATATTCGAACATACTTCTTGGAACTTCAACACAAATACACACGTCCTGAGTTTTTTACAGATGCCTCTAAGTCTAACTCCTCTGTGTCCTACGCTGCTGTTGGCCCTTCCTTTTCGGATGCTGGCCCTCTACATCCAGACACAAGTATCTTCACGGCGGAAGCTTACGCGATACTTGTGGCAGCTAAACACATCAAACAATTACAAATACAAAAAGCAGTAATTTATACAGACTCCCTTAGTGTGGTAACGGCTCTGCACAGTCTTAAAAAACAAAAAAACCCTGTCCTCATCTCACTTTACTCTATTTTGTGCACACTTTACACACTCAACCAACATGTTGTAGTGTGCTGGGTGCCAGGGCATCGTGAAATTCAAGGCAACGTGATGGCGGATCAGCTTGCTGCATCCGTCCACGAGGGCACCGCCACTACACCCATATAATCCCGGCCCTTGATCTTAAGCCGTCTCTCAAACGAAACATCAGAGACTTCTGGCAGAGCAAGTGGAATACACACACACAAAACAAACTACACATTATTAAGCCACACCTTGGTCATTGGCTGCCAGTATCAAAATCGCGTTATACAGAGGTAATACTAACGAGACTCAGGATAGGACACACATACGCAACACACACACATCTTTTGTCTAGTGACGATCCACCATTGTGCGACAAATGTGGTGAAACATTAACAGTCCTTCACATACTAATCCAGTGTAAACATTTAGAAACTCTAAGAAAACAACATTTTCCATTACTCTACCGACAACATATACCTTCACACCCTGCAATGTTTGTCGGTAGGGAACCACTTTTTAGTCATAAATCATTGTTAGCGTTTTTAAAAGAAATTCACAGCTTTCATGTCATATACCCGGGCATACCGTAGCATGACCTCTCCAGAGAGGTTTTTGCTGCGGTGGCTACACAAGAAAGCACATGCCTCACGGCCCTTGGACGCAAGGGTTTGAACGAGTGAGGCACTTGTGCTAATGCCATACATATCCACCATCGTCTTTTATTATCACCAACTTTTGTCATCTATTCACACCACACACACCTTTCACGGCATGGTCATCATTTTATTACTTGTATGTTTTTACCCGCCTTACTGCGAGGAATTTTATGGCCCTTATACAGCCACTTATCACAATCATTGTCCATATTTTTAGTAAGATGAACTGGCGCTCTTTGGCCGTGAATCGGCCCTTGCGCCATAAAACATCAAACATCATCATTTTGCGTGCGTGCCTAAAATCATTCAATATTCCCAACTGTTGCATGCGTCATGAAGCCGTGTGGAGTTGTTCACAAATTCTCCTCTTGCCACCACTGACTCAAGCGCCAAGGATCATTTTATATCAAGATCAAAACCACCGAGCCGTGAGACCACTCAGCTTGGTGTTGCAGAGCGTTGTATGCGTAATACACAGTATTTCTGGTGGCAACACACTGACTGCAGCAAAGAGAAAGCATTACTATACAGTGAGGAAATTATCAGGTTGAAAGACAGTCTGAAAACGGTGTCTAAATGGGAGGATTGAAATTGAACACATGTCATATAGATGGCCCCTGAACCACTCCAAGCTCAAAGAGTGCTTCTGTATCTCGTCTTCACTATCTTTACTGAAAGCGCTTTCTCTTTCTCACCGCTCAGTTTTTCAAAAAACACGTGGGTAATGTCGCCACTGAAGGTTGGGCATATCGTGATTTCGCGCTTTTCGGCTCCGCACTCTTGTCTATGCATGCGCAGTCGAGAACACGCAAGCCAAAGTAAAATCAGTTGATCACGCACTATCGTCGTGCGAAGCGAGCCAGGAAGGGCGCACGACTCCGTGTGAAACCACTGTAGAAGACAATCCTCGACCGATATCTCCAGCACCCACGATCCTTGCTCCACAAGAACCCACTAACCATCGTTAACTGATATTCCTGGTATACAAACCAACTGAGAACGAACGCATTTTCACATGACGTCACGTGAAAAGACTGGTCGTGTCACGAGTCGTGCTGATGATACCGGAAACACCAGGACAGGATGCTGCGCACGTCTTTGTTTTTCGAGAGTTTTTTCGGGGATTGTTTAATGTCGCCTAAACCCAAGCTCGAAGAACAGCTTTGGGCAAAGAGAAGGCACATGTGGCTAAATAGTTGACACATCTGCGGAAGACATCTCTTTGCTATTCTTCGCGAGGACCTACTGACGGTGCAGTGCTCCGGAGAACTCTGTATAGGCAGCGTGCACGCATCAGTGTCTTCTGGTTAACGAAAACGCCAAATACCAGCAATTAAAGCTATAAATTTACTGCCCACAATTATCTCTTCTGTTTCTCTTCATATCACTGTAGAGAGGGCGATGTTTATAAAAAATGAACATGGGCTGGACACGTAGCACGTAGGCAGGATAACCGCTGGTCAATAGGGGAAACTGACTGGATTCTCAGAGAAGGCAAACGCACGAAGGGGAGACAGAAAGTTAGGTCTGACTACAGTGAGCGAAGTCATGTCGACGGTGATATACCAGGGTACTTTCCTATGTTTATCTGCTTGTTCTTGTTTCTGTCAGCGTTTTTCACGGTGCTGTCCACCCCTTCAGGAACTTTTGCATTTCTGTTTCTCGTACATGCATGTCTTCTTCATTTTTTGTGAGTATCGTACGGCAAGTTTCTGGTTTATGATGTGGTCCCTTAATTTCTCGGGTACTGATAGCCTCAATGTTTGGTTCTATCGTGCTGTTCACATCAATCAGGGATGCCTTCTTTGTTGTCACATTGTCGCAAGACCGCAGGTTCGTGCGCTGCTGGAGGCAAGTTGTCATTTCATTCACATTACATACTTCTCACTTATTCCATATTCGCTACAATAGAGTTAAGGGACTACAAAGAACAGTCCCCATGCCTTAATTCACTATTGCCTTTATTTGGGTTTTTGTGAGATTGTTTGAAACAAAAAAACAAGACCTTAGATTCTCTTCTGTCGTTCACAGCCATGTTTTCATATCTTCTCCAGGTATGCCACGGTGTCAGGGATGAAACACACAGCTTGACCGACAGTGCTGAACAAAATGAGAGGAGTGCTCAACATGTACAAGCTAAAAGAGACTCCATCGATATCCCCAAGAAATCATGCACAAACTGTTTTCCCATTCGTTTAAAGCGAATCCGACGCAGGGCTAAGCGAATCTTTCACTTCTGAGCTTTTTTGCGAAACTATAAAATACTTTAGGGTACCATCTGAGTTGCCATCAGAAGCAGTCCTCGAGGTGGACATTATGACACCTTTATATCTATTAAGAAAATAAGGATGGACGTTTTTCAAAGGATTCGCAACTGATTGGCCCTTCTTACTGTGATCTTGATGTCTAGCTTTTCAGTACCTCTAATTTTGATAAACATGCCACTTCAATTGAACACATTTCTTCTCAGTATGTGTTGATGTCATCATGGTCACACCCTGAACCTTGCAGTCAAATGATAGTCCTGAAAAGCAGAACTGCTTCCTCACATATTCCAGCCATTTGTTTTTGTAAATTTTGAGAATTCAGTGCCCTAATTTTCAATCGCAATATGATGGTCCACAGTTTCAAAGGTTCAACCGTCACTTAGAGATCACCATTATCATCACCACAGTATCCCACCTCCGATGCAAGAAAACAAACCCTAACCCACCCTGACCTGCGCGAACTCACTGCATTTTATCTGACATTACCCTAAGCTAACATAAATTAACTCATTCCTCTTCCTGGAGCATGATTTCTATTCATTGGTACCCATTTCTTTACTCTAAATGATCGTCGGTCATCTGTTTTTCTGCATGACGTGTGTGCCCAGGTTGATTTCTTTTCGTTTAAAAAAAAATCTACAACTGATTTTTCTTCAGCCCAGCTTTTTCTGGCACGTAGCGTTCGTAGCTGCCACAGTTCGTCTCGAAAACACGTAGGTCTTTTTAAAGCAGTATTTTTTTTTTTATCTGAAAGGTTCCGAATACGGATGAGTCCTTTCATCCAGCAATGCTGAGAATTGATAGCGATGCCGGTAGCCTTCCTGGCAACTTGTGCTTGCTTTCGTTGTTCCGCTTTCGCAGCATTTCCTGTAGCTATGCTTGGCTACGTTTATTCTGAGCTTTACAATTATCTTCGAAAGTAACAAGCTGTAAAAATGAGACGATGTGGCTTCACTGAGCTTCTCGGTGTTTGTACCGCGTTGCGTGCGCCTACGCCCAAGCTTGTTGCACCTGTGTCGTGGATGGCTTGTCCCGTCATCGTTACCTTTTCGACACACTAGCCAAGCCAAGTCACCAAAAACGTCACTGCGCATATGCGCGACCGTGCCCATTAGCAGTACTCGTTATTTCTGAGACAAATTGTAAATAGTGAAATCACGTCGCTCCAAAATCTTAGCGACACGGAAACTTGCGAGCACGGTTTCGTGAGCACGCAGGAAAGCTGATCAAGACTTCCAGACGAGCATGGGATGATTACGTCATGCGAAGGTAGCGCCACTCTAATGCGTACTACTAACTCTGGCCTATATATGCATGTTTATGGAGTAATATAGCTTTTAGTATGAAAAAGCGAACAGTATTTAAATACTAGCAGGAAATTTGTTTACCGCGTACACTAGCTTACGGTCACATAACAGGGCACATCGGATATTTGAGGTTTCTTTCACCAGCTGGTACCACAGACCATTCTTGCGATTCTCAATGAGGAAACAAAAACATGAATCTACTTTTCATGACAAAAACGGAGTTGCTTTGAGTCGCAATGTGGGACAATCTTTCCATCCGTCCAGTCATCTCCCTTCATGTTCTGGGCAATTGTCAGTCTCTTTATTGTCATTTAGAAAATAGGCTACCCTTCTTTGATCTCTAATATGCTATGCTGTTTTTCTATCTTAATCTTTTGAATCAGAGACGAGAAGAAAAAAGTGTTTTAGAGCCGGAATATTACAAACACTTTATCGCACTTAATAAAATGTATTGTACTGAATTTTTGTCTCCTCATTGTGTGCATATGTTTTATGTTTTTCCACACTTCCAGTGAGTATCAGAAACGGGCTGCCTACTGGGCGAACAGCGTCTGAATGCATGTCATAATACTTCTGGCTATAAAAGTAAAGGAGGCTTTTTTTTTTATCCTGCAATATCAATTGACGTGAACTGACGCTAACACCATGGAGCCAACCACATCCCCTGAGAAGGATTAAACACTTAAAAAAAAATCTAGCACACAGACAGGCGCTGGGATACAAATATAAGCAGATTTACCTTATAACTAGCTTGCAAATCAACCTTTACTCGAGCTTAGCGGAAAAGGCCCTCGCAGTTTTGAGCAAAAGCATCGTGTCGAGCATGTAATGCTACAGCTACAGAGTAGTACAAGACGATATTTGTGCGCTGAGCTTGTCGGTGCATTATACAAAGTAATATTGACTTTTTTCACCCAACGCAGGACTGAACACCCATACAAAAACACACACAGTCGAACGAAAGTATTTAGAGTTACCACTTTCAACAATTACCTGAATGATAAAGCTATGAATACTTTGTTGTTCTTTTGTCCCATTTCATATGCGCTTAGCGAACGGCACCTTTATTCGTTATCAGAAATTCCTAATAGTCATAAGTTCCCACAGTCACACAATTAAAGATAAGTTTAAATATTACCTAAGCGCATATTTGGCTGTATTCTATTTTTATCAGGCCCCGCCGTGGTGGTCTAGTGGCTAAGGTACTCGGCTACTGACCCGCAGGTCGCGGGATTGAATCCCGGCTATGGCGGCTGCATTTCTGATGGAGGCGGAAATGTTGTAGGCTCGTGTGCTCAGATTTGGGTGCACGTTAAAGAACCCCGGGTGATCGAAATTTCCGAAGCCCTCCACTACGGCGTCTCTCATAATCATATCGTGGTTTTGGGACGTTCAACCCCACATATCAATCAATCAATCAATCAATGAATCAATCTATTTTTATCGGAAATCAGTAAGTACTTTGTGTTGCTAGAGTCACCGTTTCGATTAGCGGACTTGTCTTCGTCAAGGCCCAGAAACATCGTGAAGCATCGTGTATTCTGCTACACCATTAAACACACATGTCAGATACTCCAGTCCGCTGGTCGTGAGGTTGACTCCATAACTCTCCATCTCTTCCAGCTTACTTCTTACAACTTTTGTCTTGATTTTTGTACCCTAATTTGTGTGCTTACTTTGATTACCAGACGGAGGAAAGTGGGACGTCATCCACCGCTTCGACTTGGCTTTCTTGGGTGAGTATTTCTCGTAATAATGAAAGGTACTTTGTCTTCGTATGCCTTCTCTAAGCCCCACTAGAGGGCCCTGGTGGGGGATGAGGGAGAAGTGCGGTGCTGTGGAGCAGTGGGTAATCTGCTCGGCTGCAGATCTGTGTTCGCGGGATAGATCTCGGCCACATCGGTGAACGTGGTTGGTGAACTGTCATGAAAAAAAATTCTCCCGCCTCTCCGAAGGGAATCGTAGGGAAATGCAAGTGCATTTCTTGCGCCGAGATAGGGTACCATTGTCGTCAGACATTCGCCTTCGGCGGCTTCTGCCATCGCTTTGAGAGGCACTCTGCCAGCGAACGCTCGAAAGTGAGAAACGAGTGGACGGGAAAGTGGGGCGCTAGCGTTCTCGCCTCGCCGTTCAAAGCGGCGTTTCAAAGCGGCGTTTCTAGCACACATTTCGGGATGTTCTTAAGAGGTGCCTTGCCAGCGTACGCTCGAAAGTGAGGCGCGAGCGGATGAGACAGTGGAGTGCAGGGAAGAGAGAGATTTAACGGCGGGAGAAGGAGCGGCGAAGCACTGCACCAACCCTCTCGCTCCACGGGCTCCGGTTTCTAGGGGCAAGAATAAGCGCGTGCGCCCGCAGCTCTTGCTATGGGAGCGAGAGTGAGAGTGGATAGTGGAAGAATTGTTTATGTCGTTTCTGTAACCTCTGTCCGCGAATTCATTTTTTGTTAGAACTGTTAAAGAGCGGAATGAATTGTCTGTCATGCAAGTGTGCTGTAAGAATGAAGAATTCTTTATGTCGTTTCTGTAACCCCCCTGCTGTAACGCCTTTGGGCAATGCGGGGTAACCTTTGAATAAAAATAAAGAATAAAGAGACACCGGCACGGACAACGCCGGATGCCTGACATATGCCGCCTCAGAAATTCATTCGCACTTATAATGCTGCCCCGGCTTGCGCAGCGCAGCCTCGCCGATGCCGGTTCTCACTATACAGCCACCATACCCATGTTGACTGCACAATCACAGTTTTCTTTAATTGATTGTGCGAAACTCTATGACCAAAGCCCTCTTAGCTTTGCCCGTATTAAACGACTTTTCGAGGGTTAGCCTGAACAAAGGAGATTACTTGTCTTCGACAGCATTCACATTGTCTGCAATAAACAGTGAATTTGGTTGTTTCTTTTTTTGCAGGTATCACTGAGTCGAATATGTGATGGGGTCGCAGAATACATCCATCTGCCACAACTTCCCACGTTCGTTCAGGAAACCCTCTTCGGCTACCTTTCTTGAGGAGGTCACTACAACGCGCCCGCGAAGACGAGTGCTCCAGCCAACTTGTTCAAGTTGTCCACGTAGGCAACCGGATTGTGCTATGAGCTAGCAAGGAAGTATTACACGTTATCCACGAACATTTGGCGGATATTGTTTGCTACGTGCCCTCTACGAAGCACTGCTTGAAAAAACACATTATACAACGTCAGCAAATCTGGTGTTTTCATTAAATTTCTTTCCGTGGGCCAGGTCTGTGTGAATCTAGTGGGTCTAAGAGGGTAAGCATGCCTTCTTATGTGAATGTATATATTTAGTGAATGCGAAAGCTATGCGTCAACAGATGACCAGGACGAAGGTGGACAGATGTGTGTATTGCTGGAAAAGACACCATTAAGGAGCATTAACGAGTCCCTGATATTGCAAAGTGCATGTGCCAACGGAATTATTAAAATGAGTGCTCAAGGAAACTGTATTAACGAAAGATTCACTCCCGCAACTGCAGTAACTTGCAAAGCATGATTCATCAGTAAAATCTAATTAGTTGACACTCAGGTTCAAGGCAAGCAAGGCTACGTGGACGAGACGTTATAGCGGTTAAGTCAGTGGACCGTGGCGCGACCCGAATAGAGACGAAAATATACATGGCACAGCTGGCGGTGCATGCTCATGTAGGCCAATGATGAGGAAGTTGTGCGCTTTTACCGGCATAGTGCAACTAAGGAACATGGAGAGGCCTCGAAAGCATCAATGTGAATAGAGACAGGGAAAGCGAGACCGTTCAAAAGCAGAAAACGTGTTCTAGGACCATGATTCCAATGGAGAGCATGAACGTCTTCAGTAGATCAGGCTTAGGAAGCGTTCAGCTGGTTTTTAAAGCGAAACAAGAATGCAACATCGCCAGTTATTCATCTTCCTACGAACGTTGCACCTTAGAATATTCGATTCATTATGTGAACGCGGCTAGGATGTACATAAACATCTGCACTCGGTGATGTCATGTACAAGGTGACTGTTCATTTTCTAAGAAGTTGGGTGATCACGGAGAAATATTAAGTATCAACAATATGCTGACACGACGCACCACGGATAATCAGTAAGTATGCGTATAGACTTAGAAAACATGTGCACTGTTGCAGCGCGGAGCCGCCACCACCCATTTTCGCTCACGCCGTTCGCACCAACACGTAAGTTTCCGGGAGAGACTATGCCGCCGCTGCTGCGCAAAATTGCGGTGCGCCCCTGTTTGCCCTATTTCAATCCAAGCGGGAAATCTAAGCATAAAATACATCACTTCACCTTCCTTTCTGCAGCTTTAAAATTTTTCAGAGCGGCGTTTGCGGTGTCTTTACTGCTCTTTTGTGTACGTGGTAAACGACAACGTAAACGGCAACGTAGCGCCGCCGCGGTGGTGTAGTGGCTAAGGTACTCTGCTGCTGACCCGCATGTCGCGGGATCGAATTCTGACTGCAGCGGCTGCATTCCCGATGGAGGTGAGAACTCTATAAGCTTGTGCACTCAGATTTGGGTGCACGGTAAAGAACCCCAGGTGGTCAAAATTTCCGAAGCCGTCCTTACGGCGTCTCTCATATTCATATGGTGGTTTCAGGACGTTAAAGCCCACATATCAATAAATCAATAAACAGCGGCGGTGCCAATCCAGTCTCCAAACTGAGAGGAAACGCGAACCGACGCGCAACGAAAACATTGAGCTGACGAAGCCATGGCTGCAAGGCAACGTGAGGCCGAATCGAAACAAACACGCCGAGCCGAGGACTGTGAAACTGGCGCAACGCGAAGCTGAAACGCAACGCAAACGCCTAGCACTAAATCCCGCAGCGACTATAGCAAAGCGAATCTTCGGCCATTACATCGAAGCGTTGGAGACAACTACAACATTCGGCAACTGACCGAGCGCTCACAGGTTCAAGCGAGACTTTCTCGAACGGCAGTTCAGATACATCTGCAGTGCGAGCGACCGACTTTGGCTCGACAACCTCAACCGGGTAAGTAGCAGCCAAAAAGACTAATATCCTAACGCCACCGTTGGTAAGCTACAAAAAGAGTGTCCTCTACTTGCAAAGAAGCGCTAACATCTGGCAAAGTTTCCACAGGGAGCATGACGCACAGCTACTGCTACCCACCAAAGCATGAACACCTATACGAACTGAGTGCGGCTGATGAGCGGATCATCCCGCCTCGCATGCCACTTTCATGCATTCGACGCCTGACGCACGGCAACGACCAATACGGAATAAAGTGCCAGGTATGCGGAACGTAGACATGAGATTGGACGGTGTAATCTTTCACTAAAGGAAATATTGTGAGGATGCAAATCAGCGCTGGGTGTTCACTTTGTAGTGCAATGAATGCACACATGGTAATACAGACAATGAAGAGGGGTAACATAAGCGGTACTTAACATATACACAACTCCACGCACAATGAAACATGCACGGAAACATACAAATGGAACTACAATGAAAGCACAATTGAACATCAAGCGCTCCTTTACATCCCCACATGGTTCCCTTTAGCGGAAAATGGTTTTGTTTCTTACAACACTTTTGTCACTACTTTTACTTAGTAACTGCTGTGGTATTAACTGTTACCAAGTGCTGTGAGTAGTAAAGGGGGGGGGGGGGGGGTTAACAGTGACCACCTCTGCCATTGCTAACTGTGAGGTGGCAACATTCGTGACAATCACTTACTACCCTGATGTTAGGAAATACTACTACCTTTTTTTTAAAAGTGAATATTAACAAATAGCTATAGTGAGTTCTCGCTGTGTTCTTTTTTCGAGTTCAATGGTTATGAAAACCAATTGGTTCGCTTTATATTGCCACTGCGCAATAAAGCCTGTTTCACCTCATCGCGGTGCTTCGAAGTGCTACCTCAAGAGCTCTGTGCTGAGTACTCTCTGAAAGATTGCTGCACATACCGTGCGAGCTCTCAGAGGCTCTGCGATTGCACTCCGGCGGACACATTCTTGTCTTACCTTTGCACGACTGATAAGAAGCTCCCGTAAAAAAAACGTACGTCGCACTTTCACACAAAAGCGACGATGCGACCGAGCCTTGCAGACCGGTGGTGCTGCACGAATGGCTTATCGACTATGTCTGATTCAACTTGTGCTTTTATTCGTTATTGCCACAGGGAATTCACAAGATAACGAAACCACTACGTATACCGTGAGTGCACGTCTTAAACCTTATTAATGTGCGTCCTGTGTGTCTTCGGGAAATTAGAAGGCCAATTCTTTCATCTCTTCAAACTTCTTGCTGGCCCTGTCGATTTGTACATGTGTTGGTAACTATAGCGTTACCAACGAATCTATGAGCTTGGAATGGTCATGCTCCCTTTAACCTTACTCACACTTTGCTTTCACCTTTAGTGTTAAACGCTGTGACCATTGATTCAGTTGGTCTGCCACGGTAGTGTAATGATTACTGGGCTCAACTGCCGGCCCGTGAGTCATGGGATAGAACTCGACCAAGGCGGTAGTATTTTGACGAGGGTGAAATTTTGGAGTTTACTGTATGGTGTGATATCATTGCACGTTAAAGAACACCAGATGGTACAAAATTATTCTAACCCTGCACAACAGCGTGCCTCAGAATCATATAATGGTTTTCGGACGCTAAACACCGATTAATGTTTTTTTTTAATATTGACTCAGTGTTTAGACTAAACAATTCCTTCACATGATTCGCTACGTCAGCGCCCCATGTCAAAACATCATCTTCTTTCGTACAGAGCTTGAATTTATGTGAACAGTGTTTATGTATTCGTCCTACTGATAAAATATGGACAGTTCCTCTAATTTAAGTAGCGAGTACTCTGCCACCCATTTTCGTTCATATAGTTCAAGGTGATAGAAATCCAGGTGTCATGCTGTTAAGAATTCTAATGCAACAACCAAAGGTAAGTAAATAAATTCTATCGGCTCCGGCAAACAACACGAGGACGCTGATCGTCTCGCAAATATATTTGTGGTCGGATAAGGTAGAACGAAATTCGATAAGATAATCAAATACGCGGATGTTTTCGTGGGAGTGTGTGTGACTCTCGTTCGTATATAGGTCGTTATTACCGTTTCCGCCTCTTAATTTGTCAATATTCAACATGGTGTTCAACGAGGTCTTTGATAAGGGTCTTCAATCTGATACGTTTTCAGCATTTCTTGTCTTTCTAGGGTTGTAATTAGCACAATTCAATTAATATCTAAGATCATAAGTTTGCGTGAAATTCTCACGAGCACACGAACATGAATATGAAGTATATAGCACCGAAACGTGGGCGTGGCATGCAAGTTGGCGAATATATGATAGATTAGATTAGATTTGTGGGGTTTAACGTCCCAAAACCACCATATGATTATGAGAGACGCCGTAGTGGAGGGCTCCGGAAATTTTGACCACCTGGGGTTCTTTAACGTGCACCCAAATCTGAGTACATGAGCCTACAGCATTTCCGCCTCCATCGGAAATCCCAGCTGCAGCCGCCGCAGCTGGGATTTGAACCCGCGACCTGCGGGTAAGCAGCCGAGTACCTTCGCCACTAGACCACCGCGGCGGGGCGGCGAATATATGAGGAAACAAGGTGTTCAAATATTCATAACATTTGATATCGCTGTTAGAACGTCAATGTTTGTATGCTTATTTAAATGTTAACTTGTGAGTTCAGAACCCCTTGTCGAAAACAATTTATTTTTCGTCCACATTAGTTTCTTTTCAATTCAAGTGAGAATAATTACACTATTGCTTAGCAACCACGAATTGTGTCCAGTATACCTTATTGAAATTCATGCCTATCAATTTCATTAGTCCTGCATAATGCAGAAGAACCAGCACCTCGGAAATTTTCTGTATACCTATATGCTTGCGTGTGTTATAGCTATTTACATAAGTTTGTTGAGACAGCACATGTTTGTGTGTTTATAACTCTTACTCGTATAAAACGTCAAAACTCCCACTGTATTTCTTTTTATCAGAGCTGGAACAGTTCTTCCTCCTATGGGGGTGTTATTACTATATGGTCATGAGATTTATTAGTATTCTTGTCTATCAATACCTGGTGAGAGATATAGAAAATACTTTCTTTAATTATCCGGTGGACGACTATCTTAGCTCTCCCATCAATACATGATATTTATTTTCCTTCCACTAATGTGCCCCCGCAGGGGCGCCTGCGCAAGTAGGCGTTTGGTGTGTAGCGACACCACGGACCCGAGCTAACGGGGGAGTTTCTACTCCCTCCCACGCCTAGCCGTGCGTGGCTTTGCCGTGTCCGGGGAAAAGGGGATCCTGGGGGTTGAGCCGACGCTGGGTGATTGGACCTTTAAGGCCCCCCGGAAGAGGCAACACACCCCTTTGGCCCCGGCTTCACGTAGACGGCACCCCTGGGCTGACCCACCCAGGGGAAATCGGCAGTCGCCTTTTCCTATTTCTCTCTCCCTACATCTTCGTCTTTTGTTCTCACTTTACATCTTTCCTGTCTTCTACTCTCTTCTGTATACTTCCAATTTTCCTGGCGGCAAGGGTTAACCCTGTGCAAATAGCCTACCTTGGTCTAGGCGCATTGGGTTATGGCAGTGTTGTACGGCTGACGTCTGCAAGCTTTCAGCACCTGTAAACTTGCAGCGTCCCCTTGTTGGGCTCCGTGGTGGGTGGCCGCCAACGCTGCTGAACAAAAATAAGACCGGCATGCAAGGCGCATTTCCTCTACTATCTGATCGTACCGGCCTAAAGCGGGTACGCACCGACGACATAAATCTCTTCAACCAGCCAATAGAAACTTTTCCCCTCTTCCACGTCATTCACTGTGAAAAAACCGGAAAGCAAGCCAGGACCGTATCTCCTTTCGTAGTTGCCAGGTGTCTTACGGAAACTCTCGGGGCTGGATACAAAGTAACCAAAATGGCGAGCGGAGACCTTCTTCTAGAAATTCGGGACAAAGCACAATATGTAAAGCTAAACAGCCTCTCAACGTTTGGTGACGTACCGATCACCATAACACCACACCGATCCATGAACACCACTCGCGGAGTGGTATCTGATGCAGACTTACTTGAGCTCACCGAGACTGAACTTTTGGAAGGGTGGAAGAGCCAAAATGTCAATAATGTACAGAGAATCGTCATCAGAAGAGATAATAAGGAAATTCCAACGAAACACTTGATACTCACGTTTGCATCCAGTAAACTACCAGATTCCATTCAAACAGGGTACACGAAAACATCTATCAGGCCGTATATACCAAATCCTCGTCGTTGCTTCCAATGCCAGAAGTATGGCCATGGCTCTAAGACCTGTCGTGGTCGCCAGACTTGTGCACAATGTGGAGTCCTAGGCCACGTGTCCGAGAACTGCAAAGAACCGGCACACTGTGTGAACTGCGAAGGAAACCATGCCGCATATTCACGCTCCTGCACATACTGGAAAAAAGAAAAAGAAATAATTACATTGAAGGTGAAGGAGAACATTACGTTTAAGGAAGCACGGCGAAGAGTCGCTCCATTCTATGGACCTACATACGCTGATGCGGCGCGTCAGGGGGCACCGCCGCACCAGCCCTCGCCACCCCTTCGGCCCGCGCAGAGCGAGCCGTCGGCTGTGGCACCTGCCCCCAAGGCGGCTGTAGCCCAGGCTACACCGCCTACTCTCAAACAGAGACCGGAGACTCCAGAGTCTTCGGGTCTCAAGGCCTCCCCTCACCAGGCGAGGCCCAAAATCCAAACTAACAGCCCGCACGTGCGGGCATCCATTGCCTCCGAGGAGGCAATGGATACGTCGGCACCCTTGGTGCCGAAAGAGCGGCGTGGCTCCTTGGAGCGCGCCAAGAAAACAAAAAAGCAAATAACAGGGCCTGGTGATGGCCCTGTTAAGTGAACTCAAACTCCCCGTCTAAACAGCCACTTGTTTTTCGTACACACAGCATTATTTTACATTCACCATGAACACTCAAATTATACAGTGGAACGTCAGGGGCCTTCTCAGAAACCTTGACGACATCCAAGAACTCCTACACGAACACTCACCAAAAGTGCTGTGTGTACAAGAAACACACCTTAATTCAAAACACACAAATTTTCTTCGCAAATACGTTATTTTTCGAAAGGACCGTGATGATGCCGTGACATCATCCGGAGGTGTTGCCATCATAGTGAATCAAGAAATTGCATGCACACACATACAACTCCAAACATCCCTTGAGGCAGTGGCTGTTCGAGCGGTTCTTTTTGATAAACTGATCACAATCTGCACGATTTACATTCCTCCTAGTTATCAGCTACAAAAACGTGATTTACACTCTTTAATTGATGAACTTCCGGAACCTTATGTTCTCCTTGGAGACTTTAATGGGCATAGCAGGCTATGGGGAGACTCTCGGTATGACGCGCGAGGTCGACTGATCGAACAGTTCCTTCTCTCGTCGAGCGCGTGTCTCCTAAACCGAAAAGAACCAACCTATTATAATCTCGCCAATAACACCTACTCCTCCATAGACCTGAGCATAGTATCTCCATCTCTTGTGCCTCTACTCCAGTGGAAAGTCGTCAGTAATCCGTACGGAAGTGACCACTTCCCTGTAGTTTTGAGCACGACAGTAACTGAGTGTCCATCACGTGTTCCCAAGTGGCTCATAAACAGAGCCGACTGGGAACAGTTTTATACTATTGCTAGTCTAGGTTGGAATGACATCCGTACTTTGAACATTGATGTTGCGGTGAACTACTTCACAGCGTTTTTGATCGATGCTGCAACAAAATGCATCCCACAAACAAATGGACACCCTGGAAAACGACGTGTGCCATGGTGGAACTCTGAATGCCGAAACGCGCGCAAACAGCAAAACAGAGCTTGGAGGCTGTTTCGGAACTCGCCGACAGCCGAAAATCTTGAAACCTTCAAGAAAATAAAGTCTCAAGGCAGGAGAACGCGTCGGCAGGCCAGAAGAGAAAGCTGGCAGAAGTTTTTATCAGGGGTTAATTCATACACACAGGAGGCTAAAGTCTGGGACATGGTCCATAGGATAGCAGGAAAACAAGTACACACACTTCCACTCGTAAACACTCAGGGTGATACCTTGGAAGATCAGGCAAACTTCCTCGGTGCACACTTCGAACAGGTATCCAGCTCGTCCCACTATACTGACACTTTCCAAAAATACAGAACAAGAATCGAAAAGGAGAAACTTGAACACAAATCCACTAGATACGAGGGATATAACCAAGCTTTCAGTCTTGCTGAGCTCCGAACATCTCTGAACTCCTGCAGTACTTCTGCCCCAGGTTCTGACCGTGTGATGTATGAAATGTTAAAGAACCTACCAAACGAAACCCGAAAAACCTTACTTTGTTTGTACAATGCTATTTGGTCTTCTGGCACTATTCCTACCTCCTGTAAAGAGGCTATTGTTATTCCCATTTTGAAAGAGGGCAGGGACCCTTCTTTAGCTTCGAGTTATAGGCCTATTGCACTTACAAGCTGCTTGTGCAAAGTCTTCGAAAAAATGATAAACTGCCGACTTGTACACTTTCTTGAAACAAACAATTTGCTCGACCCATTTCAGTGCGGGTTTCGAGAGAGTAGATCCACGACAGACCACCTTGTTCGTATCGAGGCACAGATCAGAGACGCCTTCGTCCATAAACAATATTTTCTCTCCGTGTTCCTCGATATCGAAAAGGCTTATGATACAACATGGCGTTTTGGAATTCTAAGAGACCTATCCAACCTTGGCGTGCGCGGAAGAATGTTTCACATAATCAAAAGTTACCTGTCAAACCGGACATTCCGTGTCCGAGTGGGCACGGTTCATTCTCAAACATTTGTCCAGGAAACAGGCGTTCCACAAGGTGGTGTACTTAGCTGCACACTTTTTCTCATAAAAATGAATTCCTTGCGCTTGACCATCCCTCGCAATATGTTTTATTGTACATATGTGGATGACGTCCAGCTTGGCTTTAGGTCTTGCAATCTGGCAATGTGTGAGCGGCAGGTTCAGTTAGGTTTAAACAAGCTCTCAAAATGGGCAGAGGAAAACGGATTCCGACTGAACCCACAAAAAAGCACGTGTGTCCTGTTCTCCAGAAAGAGAGGCATGCACTCGGAACCCGACATTGAACTGAACGGTCAGCGTCTGTCTGTTAATACGGAGCATAAATTCCTAGGATTAATCTTGGACAACAAGTTGACCTTCGTACCGCACATCAAGTATCTAAAAACAAAATGTTTAAAAGCCATGAATGTTTTAAAAGTGTTGTCACGTACTAGGTGGGGTAGTGACAGGCAATGTCTCATGAACCTATATAGAAGCCTCATTCGCACCCGCTTAGATTATGGGGCTGTTGTTTATCAGTCTGCGACTCAAAGTGCTTTGAAGATGCTGGACCCCGTGCACCATTTGGGCATCCGCCTTTCTACGGGTGCTTTTCGCACCAGCCCCGTAGAAAGCCTTTATGTTGAGTCAAATGAGTGGTCGCTTCATCTGCAGAGAACTTACATGTCCTTTGTTTATTACCTTAAGGTGAAAGCAGACAAGAAGCACCCCTCATACTCTACTGTTAATGATTTGTCGAGCTCAATTTTGTTTCAAAACAGGCCTTCGATGAGGCAGCCCTTTTCAGTTCGCCTGAAGGGTCTAGCCGAGGAAACTGGAGTGTCACTCGAACACAATTTAATGCCTCCTGTAGCATACCCGCCACCGTGGCAGTGGCAGACTATAGATTGCGATGTGTCTTTTTTAGAAGTTACTAAACATGCGCCTATTGCCCATATTCGAACATACTTCTTGGAACTTCAACACAAATACACACGTCCTGAGTTTTTTACAGATGCCTCTAAGTCTAACTTCTCTGTGTCCTACGCTGCTGTTGGCCCTTCTTTTTCGGATGCTGGCCCTCTACATCCAGACACAAGTATCTTCACGGCGGAAGCTTACGCGATACTTGTGGCAGCTAAACACATCAAACAATTACAAATACAAAAAGCAGTAATTTATACAGACTCCCTTAGTGTGGTAACGGCTCTGCACAGTCTTAAAAAACAAAAAAACCCTGTCCTCATCTCACTTTACTCTATTTTGTGCACACTTTACACACTCAACCAACATGTTGTAGTGTGCTGGGTGCCAGGGCATCGTGAAATTCAAGGCAATGTGATGGCGGATCAGCTTGCTGCATCCGTCCACGAGGGCACCGCCACTACACCCATATTAATCCCGGCCCTTGATCTTAAGCCGTCTCTCAAACGAAACATCAGAGACTTCTGGCAGAGCAAGTGGAATACACACACACAAAACAAACTACACATTATTAAGCCACACCTTGGTCATTGGCTGCCAGTATCAAAATCGCGTTATACAGAGGTAATACTAACGAGACTCAGGATAGGACACACATACGCAACACACACACATCTTTTGTCTAGTGACGATCCACCATTGTGCGACAAATGTGGTGAAACATTAACAGTTCTTCACATACTAATCCAGTGTAAACATTTAGAAACTCTAAGAAAACAACATTTTCCATTACTCTACCGACAACATATACCTTCACACCCTGCAATATTTGTCGGTAGGGAACCACTTTTTAGTCATAAATCATTGTTAGCGTTTTTAAAAGAAATTCACAGCTTTCATGTCATATACCCGGGCATACCGTAGCATGACCTCTCCAGAGAGGTTTTTGCTGCGGTGGCTACACAAGAAAGCACATGCCTCACGGCCCTTGGACGCAAGGGTTTGAACGAGTGAGGCACTTGTGCTAATGCCATACATATCCACCATCGTCTTTTATTATCACCAACTTTTGTCATCTATTCACACCACACACACCTTTCACGGCATGGTCATCATTTTATTACTTGTATGTTTTTACCCGCCTTACTGCGAGGAATTTTATGGCCCTTATACAGCCACTTATCACAATCATTGTCCATATTTTTAGTAAGATGAACTGGCGCTCTTTGGCCGTGAATCGGCCCTTGCGCCATAAAACATCAAACATCATCATCATTCCACTAATGTGCTTTTCGCAATTAGTGAACTTGTTCACTTTTGCACAAATAGGGATTATTTATTATATTTGGCCTGTTTCTGTATACACCATGCCCCTACTTTTTTTTTACCTATGTATGGTGTGTCGTTATACGTGTGAACTCACTGCTCTGTATTTTCCTACTTCTCATGGAATATTCCGTATAAGCAAGCGATTCCAGAAACAGTGAAGTCACCGACTTTGGTGCTTTGTCAAAGTTGTCCTCACTCCTTCACCGAATAAAATCCAATTCTAGTTTTGGTTAAAATAGAGCATTTTCGGGTGCCTCAGATTCTAGGCTTTTTTTTTTACTAAGTTATTCAGGGAACCTCATACTCTGCGAAGTCTTTATACACCACATAACGTATACGTACATACGGCTTCTAAATTCTAATATTTTTTCTTGGATAAGATAGCCAGTTTTAATGTCACCTACCTCACCCCGTTTTTTCATACGTGCCTAAAAGAAATACAGATATTGTTTTCGCGAGGCAAGCAGGTCACTGCAATAGTAAGAAAACATAAAATGTTTTGGTATGCAACCTTGCAATAACAATATTCCAACTGCCTTATAACAACGCCAGATATCCACCGGACACGCTGAAGCACTGGAAGAAATCAAAACTGATCCACCATTTGAAAAAGGTAAGTTTTACACTTCTGCCCTTTACCCAAATCTTTTCCTCTTTGCTTGGTTTGTCTTTTAATTCACAGTAACTGCATTAGAAAACTAACCCAGCCCCAGCCCTTCATTAGGCTCTGGGTCCCGCCAGTTTAATATCAATCACTAATTACAAATAAGAAGAACAAAAACGTTTAGAGATAAATATATATATTGATTGATTGATTCATTGATTGATTGCGTACACAAATGCCACAGATATACCTCAATTGTACCTGTTGTATGTTTAATGCTTACTGTGAGCTAATTCTTAGTTACTCTACTTTTATAGTTCCCGAAATCTTCCGAGACTTCAAGTACAACGTCATCAGAGGCATTGTTCTAGACTTGAAATGGAACGCACCGGACGACCTCACAACTGTGTACTCTTACACGTTAATTTGCAAACAAGACGGTACTGGGCAGCAGCTTGAATTTAAAGGCGAAGCACCCGCGCGGCACATCACCCTATCTCTTCAGCAGCCCCTGGCGACTTTCGAATGTTCAATAACTGCATCAACGAGCAAAGATGGTGACGTTCCTATTAACGGGTCCTCAATACCATTCACAGTTACCACTGGAGAAATTAGTGAGTAAAGCTTGAACTAGGTCTTTCTGTGTAGTTCAAAGGCTGATTCGTTTATCACAATGACAGTTTGGTTTCCTTTCATGAATATCGCTGACATGTATTTGTCTAGTAATAACTATAACTAGCTTATTATGAAGCCACTCAACTCTAGCAACTGCGTTATGATTTGTTATGTTCTTTGTGCAACGCAACGCAATCCTCGTTCAGGAATGTTGACGAGGGATATGATGATTATTGAAGCTAAAAATAAGCAAGCTGGCGTTCATACCCACAACTTTTTTATCAATTTTAGTACATATTTTCTCTACATTTATTTTCTCTACATGCAACTGTTAATCTGTGTATTCAGTAATCGTACTATAAGGTGACAGCACTCATGTTTTATGTACTACAAATAACTCTTTCATCTGATTTCTGGTATCTCTTTTGTGTGTTGTTATGGTGGCGCAGCATTTTTTTATGCTTTCATTGGTTCAAAAACGCTATATTGGGTGCAAGAGTTGTCGCAATGATTTTCTCTGCTCATATAGTAGTGCGACTCGTATGTATGTATGTATGTATGTATGTATGTATGTATGTATGTATGTATGTATGTATGTATGTATGTATGTATGTATGTATGTATGTATGTATGTATGTATGTATGTATGTATGTATGTATGTATGTATGTATGTATGTATGTATGTATGTATGTATGTATGTATGTATGTATGTATGTGTGTGTGTGTATGTATGTATGTATGTATGTATGTATGTATGTATGTATATTACACGCCAAACCATATTTGACCACGTGAAGAGTGCGTTTGCCTGGGTAAACGTTGTAATTTAGTTTGAATTGACATACTTACAGATCCTCCTAACGATGTCAAGCTTCTTGAAAGCACTTCCACGAGCCTTACGTACACTTGGTCTATTGTAACTCCTCTGAATAGCTGGAAGGTTTCAGCAGAGCCACTTGGAGACGACAATTGTGACCTCAGTGGTGATACAAATGGGCACGAAGAGATAAAAAATATGACTGTTGTATACAACATCACCGATCTCACACCGGGCTCTGAATACAACGTCTCCGTTCGAAACTGCTTCAACTCTTTTGCAGCCTGCCGACATTCATTACAGGAGTTACCGATTTTCCAGGTGAGAAGGTTGTCTGAGATTTTTTACTTTCTGTTTAAGGGTCCGCTTTATTTTTACTTATGGCGACGCGCATAAAACTCCCGAGGACAGTTTATTACATGGCAGAATAATGGTTGCATTTTATTGGCTGACCTAGAGGTATATGTGGCTTTTAAAGTCATCATTCGCTTCTAGTAATTTAGTTCCCAGCTTCACTAATTTGTTTTGGATTGAGAATACAATTGGTTTATTGCTTTACTTAGTACACTTGAGGTGTGTCTGGGTTTTTGTTATGCGCTTCATGCTTGCTGCTTTTCTATCTCAATCGGCATTGTGTGAATCTGGAGGCTGCCACAATTCTGTACCTGCGTGTCTATTAGTCGCACTCGCAAGTAGGCGTTTATGCACCGATCTCTATTCTGTTGGTTAGATTTTTGTGTTATGCATTGCCGAAGAGGATTCGAGAGCCCACGTGGGACGAAGAGCGCATTTGACATCTGCTCCACTAGGTGCCGCAGTGATCCTATCTGCCGACTGATTTTTTCAATACTCTCATTCACTTAATTTCCATTACCTATTATCTCACTCAATTTATCCTTATCGTAAGTAAACTTACACTCTGATATCATATACATTCAATATGACTCTCAGCTTGAGCTAGGACTGTAGAATTCGCGCACATTGTATTTTCTAAAACAATTTTTTTTTATTTTTTGAAAACCGAGAGTAAGTTTTTGACCAGGAGTAATAGTAAGAGAAACAAGATTGCGATTTGGTGCTCACATAACTAATACATTGTCGCGTGCACTTTTCTCTTGTTTTTTTTTATGTAGTGAGCCTTCCGATTTGTCAATGTTGGCACTGTTAATCCGAGATGCAATAGGAATCACATGCCTGTTGGTTCACTCTTGCAGTAAAATTGCTTTGAATAATCTGGTAATTAGAAACGAAAAAAATCACATCTACAAACGAATACTCCGAGGCAAGAAAAATGTGCATATCCCCAAAGCAGACAGCATCATCAAGTGAGAGTTGTTTATATAGCAGTTTTCCCCGTTCTTTACATCCCCAGGACCAGTCAAAGGTTTGAAGGCGTCGTTTGTGAACGGCACAGTTCTGAATGCTTCCTGGGACACTGCGGAGGGCTGCTGGGACTACGATGGCTATACGGTTATATGCCGAGACCCCAATACTGGCCAAGAGCTCTCCCTAACGGCGGGCAGTGAACCCCACTTTTTGCTGCCTCTCCGCAAGCCGAAGGAGAAGTTCGAGTGTTCAATACAGCCGTTTGTTCTGAACTCGGCAGGCCAGCGCAGGAACGCTGCAACACTGGAGTTCCAAGTTTCCACGGAAGGTCTATGTGAGTCGGGTTTCGATACTGCGAGTTCCTTTTATGTCGTTGGCTTAGCGCGCAAGTTCGTCAATACCCCATAAGTATATGCTCTCTACCAGCTAGTCAAACATTTATCATCATGCACTAGCGTCACCATATGATGTCACACATGCCAAAGTTTGTGATATTGAAACATTAGTTCATATGATGACGTCATCGCACGATATTGTCACTTGATCAAAGGTTGACCGGTCACGGAGGCTGTGCAGAATTACGTGATTTGCAAAAAGCTTTGCCGAATCGTACCAAATAAGAAGAAAATTAATGTGGATTTCACTTTCTATAGAGCACACCTATGAGCTTTCTGGTTCATAGTTTCCAGAAGAAAACGGCGCTGAAGAAATGGGATGGCAATGAAAGAGTGTGACAGAATTAAAATATAAAATTCATTTAGTTGTTATTGAGCGCTGTGGTTTGTATTCTTTCTACGCCCATATTTTTAGCGATGTTTTCTACGAAAATTTCCCTTCAAGTCGCCATAGACGAGTGCATAAGGAATCATGTGAGTTAATTATGCCCTAAGGACGGTGAACACGATATATAAAAGGTAAGCGGTAAAGTATTACGAGCAATTACTCGGTTGAATTAATTCATTACATTACAGAATTACTAGGCCACAAAATGTTTCTTTAAGTTAATTGTTATAGAAAAGAAAAAATTCATTGTTCTCATTACACTACTCCTAATTATCGTTGCAGATCCTCCAAAGGGTGTAAAAATTATTGAGTACACTGACACAAGCCTTACTCTTGAGTGGTATGGGGACCTTGACTCGACAACCTGGAAGCTGACTGCAGACCGCATATCGACGTCAGGCATTGAGCATGACGTCACTCAAGACAGCGGCAAAAACGGTGCTGAAACGATCACTCACAAAGTGACTAGTCTCGTCCCATGGACGCGTTACAACTTTTCCATTGTGAACTGCCGCGACAACTATTGCAGTGAACCTGTTGGGCTCATTGCAGCAACGGATGTAGCAGGTGAGCTCATTGAACTTTGGCAGCAGTTCAGGGGAAGATGGAAGATTGAAGAGTTGAAATATTTCTGAGCATGGTGTGCCACCGCCTCAACGTTTTAACAAGTGTTTTTGTCATCTTCAAAGCAAGTGCTCTGAACCAGATGGCCTGCCAAAACTTTGACTCCAGAGACCCCCCTGCCCCTTCCCGTGTTGCAATATCCTTTCGCATTAGTTTGGTGCTTTCTTCCTTTCTTTCTCTCGTTAATGGAAATTGCAGAAACTTAAATCCCTAGAAAGTACAAGTAATCTGCCCAGTTATCATTTTGAAATAACTAGATATTACAGTTTTCTGTGTGCTTATACTGTTACACCAGTTGTAGGCTTGTATTTAGTTTACCAGGAACTGTATATATCGACGGGGGTGCAGTGGACACTAAGAAGGCACAAGTTAAGGGGAAGTTGAAAGCTTGAAATGGTGAGAGATTTTGTATAGGTGAGGTATCGAATTGAGAAAAAAAATCGACTAGTGTTTTTACCTTTTCAAGGCTGCTACCAGCGACCTTATCGTGTGCATTTATACGCTTCATACCCTTTCCTTCAAACAAAACAGATGAGGAGAGGGCAATGTGAATATGGTGAATTGTGGAGGCACAGTCAGAAAACAACAAATTTGGAATTGTGAATTATTCCATAATATACCGATGTTAAGATTTCTACACAAGTCACTTATTATTAGATGCAAAGCAGCTAATGTCCCAGTCTGTGTGCGTCCCTCGGCGGCCGTCCACTTCCCCTCTGCGCATGCGCCCATTCTCCCCCTGTGCTAGCATTAGTGCGATGAAATGGGGTGGAGGACGTGATAGAGTGCTGCCTCCTCTCCGTTTCTCCTCTCCTGTTTATCCCTCTGCCATAGCTGTGCGCTCGTATATATGTTTCACGCGCTCGCTGCGTTCCATTCTCTTAGCAGCGCTGGGTGTTCACTTTGCCGCACACAAACGGTAATACACAAAATGAGAGGGTGGTAACATAAGCGGTACACAATATGTTCCCAACTCCTCACACAAATAAAACACACCCGGAAATGCAATATGTACACAAGTGTAAATACAAGCGAACACCAGCTCTGCTTCGTATCCCAACAAGGTTCCTTTTAGTGGGGGATGACGTAATCTTTATAAGTTTTACAATGCGTTCAGAAATTGTCTGTATGTATTGAAGACATGTCCATCATTCTATTAAGAACCTCCAAGTTTCCATATATCTAATGATACAGTCAGGTAATGGCCTAGTGAGGCGGTTTAAGTCCTTCATTTCCTTCACCTCGAGGGCAAACGATGCACCTGTTATGCCCGAATGAAACAACATTTGTTTTTTTTTATTACATGTTTCTGACACTTTTCAACCTTCGTCCTCTGCCTTGTCGTTTTTCAGCTCCATCAAAGCCGGAAAGTCTTCAGTGCGTTGTTGAAAACGACGTGAACGTTCGATTTACATGGGAGAAACCAGAGAAACCCAACGGCCCTGTAGAAGGCTACAGCCTTCGCGTGCACAACCTAGACACGGAAGAAACGAGGTCGTATTCTGTTCCAGGAAATGCGACCAGTATAATATTGAACTTGACGCAGGAATTCAATCGCTTCACCACATACTTGAAGGCTTACAACGTTGCTCAGCTGAATGGAGAAAGTGTCTACAGCCCTGAATCAGAAGTCGCATTCGAGACTCTCGGCCAAGGTATGTCCGTGGCACTGTTCTTGGTGGCTGGAGTTGTGAATCAATTTTAGTGTGGCACCAATGTAGCCTGCGTGCTCTTCAGTAACACTCACACTATTTTGTACACATATCATTGATTTTCATACCGTTAAAGAGCAATGAAGTTTATTTTCAAGCTTAGTCATGAACAAGATCATTATATGACGGTAAATACAAGAAATAATAAATGGAGTGAGCTGCTAAGTGGAACATTGTCAAGTGTCTTCTATACATATAAATTTTTATTACAATAATTTGGTGCAGATCGTACCGCTTTCGTTGAGTGTATAGTTTGCAGTCTTGTTACTCAATGCTCATCGTTAGTCACTACTCTGTAAATCTTGAATTATCATGAGTATCGTACTTTGGTTAGATTGTTTTTGTTTATTTATTATATTAATGATCTGTTGGTCTCTATGTTGTCGGTTTCTTGATAGCTGCCAGATATGTTGTCTATCCTGATTTATTTGTATATATCTTTTGTCTAAAATGATGTGTGGATCGTATTAAAATACTACAGCCTATATTGACCATTCGCAAACAGTAAAAATAAACAAATAAATAAATAAATATAAGTGGTTAGGATACATCTACAAATTTATTGACAAGAAAGTAAAAACAATTGTGTAAAAATACAAATTTTAAGCTGTTTAGTAAGTCAGAAATGGCAAAGGCTTATGTAATGAACAAGCAATGCCAGGTAAAGTTAGAAATTGTGGAAGCAATGTATGACGGGTCATTATAGCTACCACAATATTTAATACTGCAATCACACTATTCGATTGTTGGGATCAAGTTGGTTCTTGAATGTAATATTTCTTAGCTTGGCTTTTGCATAGATGTTCAGTTGATAATAATTTACTGGTATGTACAACGGTATTAGAGAGATCGATTTCAGCAAATATTGCATTGAACGTACCATACCTACGGTACCCTCTAATTATTAAAAGACGGTTATCTAGTTCGAAGAACATAGCAATGTTGTATACGATTGGTCAGTGACGAAGCCACCTGCATGTGCAATATCACAAAATTATATATGTGACCGCTGCTATATTAAGATGAAAGATCTGATGAAGAGGGTGCGTATTTAAATTGCAGTAAAATGGTGTCGCATTTCATAACAAATAGCTGAAAGTCATAAGACAAAGTGCCAGACGTATTCGCTCATAACATGAAAGAAATTAGACAAGCCAATATATCTACGAAGTTGTTATACACACTATAAATAAACGACACTATTGCCACACGATCATGCACTCTGTTTGCGATCAAATGCGAAATCAGCGGTACTTTGCAGGCCCTGTGCCTTCACGCCCCAAAGCGGTAAACGTAACAGATCACGGAGCCAAGCTCTTTTGGGAATGGCCGCAGGATCCGAGGTACCACATCACACGTTTCACCATAACAGTCGATGGCCAGCAGACCGTGCAAACTACGGAGCCTCAGCTGACTCTCGAAAACCTTGCCGCATGGAAGCCCTACAAAATAGGTGTCGCCTCTTGCGTAAACGAGACCTATTGTGGTCAGGAAGGCACGCTGCTGGTGCATACAGACATCGGTGGTGAGTAACTGTTAACCTAATTAGTCGAATTGAACGACGCAGTTAAGAAGTGCTCGACGTGGACAAAGCCTAACCATTGGGCTGAATAACTGAAAAGTGAAAATAGCCCCACCAGATATGAATTATGAGCCTGTCTGCTAATGTGAAATTGCAGAACATATTTAAGATGCTAGGCATAAAACTATGAGAAAAAAGTGAAAGAAAGTGTGCTGTTCTTTGTGAGTATTAGTCAATTTAATTACGGTGTAAATAACTATTCATTCATTGTGCAGTTGCTATTATATTAGTTTGACATAAAAACAATAAAACTTGTAGGGTCGAAGTGTGTGCGCAATGCGTTTTTTTTTTACTTTGATCGTTTTAAGCAAAAAAAAAAAACATGTCTTCGACGTTGGTACAGCAATGCGGCCCGTCGAATGACCCCTCGAACGTCGTTTAGGCCTTCACCAAAGCTGACGGGCTTCTGTCATACGGAGCACATTAGTGTCATGTCTGAACTCGCTGAGTATGCACAATGTTCACTCAATCCTATGAGCAATTTGTCTTGCTTTTTTTTTTGGGGGGGGGGGGGGGGGAAGGGGGCACTTTTTTTTAAATGTATCAAAGACTATACAAATGAAACCAAGTAAATTTACCTCTGTTGTTTTGTAGCACCCTCCGAACCATTGAACCTCACCGTCGATTCGTGGGGCACTCACTGGATCCTTGCACGGTGGGAGGAGCCGAATGTTCTGAACGGACCACTTAGCGGCTACAATGTGAGCTTCAGAGACGACGCTACGCACTTCGAAGCAACGACTACTCAGTTGTCGTACAACTACACGGGTGCCGTTCCAGGGACTGTGTACGAAGGTGACCGTGTACGCATTCAATGAGGCGAAAAGGAGTGACAAAGCATGGACCATCCGCTTCACTGTTTACTTCGCGGAGAGATGACCGTAAGTGTGACATCTTGACCGGTTAAACCTTTACTCCTCACATCTACATCACAATTACTACATTACACTAGGAACAGCTTGAATCCTCGAAACATTCTTCGGTTTCACTATCTCCCTGGTTCGTACTAAAAGAATCTTGCAGCTTTTTTCCAAGTAGCCATGCAATAGATTCCCTAAGGAAGCTTATTGCTTCACGAATGTTTAGAATTTGACCTTTAAGAGAGAGTTGCAAAATTTGTGACACGCTGCAATCGCAATTTGTCGTCACTCGTCCCGACAGAAATGCTGAACGCTAATGCTTTCCCACAAATTTAAAAAGTCATCTTGATATCAGCTTTTGCAATCATCATAGTTCGTTCGTGATTGACGTAATCAAAGATAAACCAGTAGTGGAGACTGACAACCACCTGTTGACAGCACGAACCCTTCCTCCACTTTGCGGAATTCAACAAAACTCATTTTCTTAGTGCACGCAAGGAATGCACTTCATTACAACCTAAGGAAAATCCGCTCACAAGGCTGCGGCATTCCTGTCATTCACCTGCGAGATGATAGTTGTGCTGGCTTGGTTCCACTCAAACCTCAAGTACTCTTTCTCGATTAACGTGAACAGTACGCATAATTTAGGTTAAATGTTCGTAGTTACTACACATAAGCATTACATTTTTTGTAGCATCGACTTCAAAATATGTGACGAAATTCGTCAGGACGCTCTCAAACCTGAAACCAGCGCAGCAAACGTGTACGCTATGTTGGGCCAGTTGTGTTGGGCCAGTTTTTGCGTTGCGAGTAAAAAAGCAAGCGTGTGTTTCTAGAAAAAGTCAAAAGCACTTGAAGTCGTTACCCAATTTTTTTCAAACAAGTGAATGACGCACCTAAATAGAGCGCTGTTGGGCAGAACATTGTCAAAAATTCTTTATGGGAGGGGCAGTGATCACTGTGCGCTGAGGCATAACTTTTCCTATATTCTACTGGGTGTCAGAGACGTAGCCAAGGGGTAGCACACCGGCCCCGTGCCACTTCCCCCCACCCCACCTGAATTTTTTTCACCATGACATAGGGCTCGAAAAACGACCATTTCAGGAAGTGAACCTCCCCTCCTTCAGGAAAAAAAAAATCCTGGCTACGCACCTGGCGAGTGTGGTGCGCTGCGTGCGTAGTAAGCGAAATATTGCTGAGCCTTCACGTAACATTAACCTAATAATTACTTTTCGCAGCTCTGAGCATGGCGTCTCTAACAACAACGAGAATTCTTTTGGCTTCGCTTGGAGCTGTCACGTTAGCCCTCGTAGTGGTGTGTGTTGTGCTTCACAGGAAGTGCCCCGTAACAAGGTGAGTAAACGAGATCCATGACGGAGCTCATTAACACTGACATTATCGGTCTTACTATTGCAGTACATTTTATAGCACAGTCATTGAACATGAGCGAGAACATCCCAGAGAAGGACGTAGAAATAAACTGGCGCATACTTGAGAGCCTTTCACATGGTACGAAAGTTTTCTTTGTTTTTCTTCATACTTATTGATACCTGTCGAGCATCATACTATGATTGCACATTATATTGATCTCAACATTTAAACCACGTATTTCAATGTGCATAGTTCACCCTCAAAATTTCGTTCACTATTTTACATAAAGAAACTATATACAGGAGCATTTTTCCCGAACAAATAGTTGCTTGGGTTGTAGTTCTTCATAACACACAAGATTTTCATGTGGTTTGTAGCAAAATATTCAAGAAGTAAGAGAATTTGATGGGCTTTCCTTTTTTTTTAATACGCAACGCTGAAAAAAAAACAGAATGAACACGGAACAACGAGAACAGCTGCATTCCGCATAATTTTATAAAAGGGAGACTGCATACTATTGTAGTCGAAAAGCTCCCAGATTTCTTAAACATGGGTGGTTTTTTTTTTTAAGTAAAGAAGGCTTTCGTGTGAAAGTCGAAGTGTTGTTTCTTTTGATCTTCTAGTTTATAGCTCTACTTTCCTCCCTTCATTAGGTGTATTGTGGCAAATCACTTTTCTTGAATATGTCCTTCGCATTTCTAAGGTGTTTATATGGCCGAAGCAAGATCACAAAAGACTTCCAGATCTGAAGTTGCAATTTTTTTTGTTTTTTGCTTGCAGGGAGCCGAATGTTGAGAAGAATGTTCGGATTGAAAGGAAGCGGTGGAATTTGAGTACGGACCGACTGTGAATCGTGTGAGATTAAATCGATGATTACTTGCTGCAATAAACAAGCATCAACGTTCCTTCATATTTATTAGCTGTAGATTTTTGTGTTTTTTATTGTTCTTGTTTAGCTGAGAAAGCCGGCTGTACTCAATCCCTTTATTCAGTCACTACCTTCTGAAAAGTGTCTGAACGAACCTTAGTGTGCCTTCAAAGAAACATCAAACTTTAGTAATTGCGAAGGAGCAATAAGTGCACTAACAGCAGAAGTGAAAATTGACTATGACTATAACTAAAAGCTACTGAGACAAATTGTCGTTGTGTCTTTAAAATAGCCTTTTAAGTAACGATACCTTTTAATGTTCTCTTCAAATGTTCTTCTTTGTCACTGTTGCCCACCATCTTTTCCCAAGAACAGGTTACTGCACTATCTATGTATTCTGATTACCTGTCCTATTTTTGATTACGTTTTTCTTTTTCTCGCAGGACATGTCCGTAAATGCCGGACTTTAATTACATGGCATGGGAAACTATTATATTTCAGAAACCTAAGAAGTCAAACGTATAACCTTTATTGAAGTCCGTACAACCGATAGAAACTTGCGCCAGTACTTCGCGCATGACTGCATTTTTTTTTAGTGCAAGGCAACAGTGTGGCTGACTTCAGAAAAAAATCAACATTTTTCACCCTCCCAATACTAAGAAATACTTAATAGCGCGAAAATTATCACACTGCTATTTTGCTTTCTTCGTGGTAGCGTATGCAGTGCAGTGGAATGAAATTATTAGAGGCGAAGTTTACGCGTATACAAACAGTTCGTCGCATCTCGCGCCTTTCAGATATACAAGAAGCTAGCAAACTTTCTTGGTAGGACGCCCTTTGGGCCAATTACTTGATACGTTTAGTAGAATTAAAATGGTGAAAATCGCGTGATGAATAACACGAGAACAGAAAGGAAAAATCTCGACACTACTGGGTGCCGACTGCGAGTGGTTCTTTCTTTGTTGTCAATGCAATATTTGACTTAATATATAAACCACCCAATCTAGCAATGCGTTTTTGATAACTCTACCTAGAACGCATGACATCATCATAGCGTTTATTTCAGCTGCGCTGCAGGAAACGCTGCAGAGTGTATTGGGGGTGTTTGCGTCCGGGATCTCTTAACTTCCTACATACCGAATTGGCCAAGGCATAGGTTCAAGTTGAAAAGCCATTTCGGCACAATCATCGGCCTCAGTTGTGTGGTTACGCGACTCGGTTACACTGCTCTGCTGCTGACTTGAGGGTCCAGGGTTCTATTTTGGCCCCGCTGGTCGCGTTTTCTTAGAGGCGAAATGTTGGAGGTTCGTATACTGTGTTACGGTAGCGTACGCAAAGTTGCATTCACACGACGGACCAGATAGTGATTCGAGCATGCGGATTGCGTACTTCACACTGCCATTTTTTTTACGAAAGAGAACACCCGAACGCGCGTGGCATGTGCTCTACGACGGCTGCCCACACCACCATTAAGCGACACCTAAAAAAAGGCACATTGGTGTCTGGCATCACCTATTGCCCAATTAAACAAGGAGTTTATGCCGTTAGACAAACGCTGCTAGATAACACTCGCGCTCTGATCTGATAATAAACCAGCGAAAACCAGACGCGCTTTCTTGAGCTGTGGGTTGATGGTGACGTAGACACCTGCCGCAGTACACCGGCTACGCGCTCGCATGTTCCCTTTCGTAATGAATGACAGTTTAGGTCACCCCACGTCAGCCATTCTCGCTTTGGTCCGCATGTAACGTTTCGTGGAACGATGGAAACCCAAATCACACTTGAGATCCTGCGGAGGCAGAGCGAAAATTTTCGCTTGCAGTTCGAGTCCTCCCCTGTCTTGTGAATGCTGGGTGCGGAGAGATTCGAATCGCGTTATATGTCGCTTTACTGATTTTTCCGTCATCACGTCAATTTTGTGAATACAGATTGAAGAACATCAGATAATCACAGTATCCGGAGCCCTCCGCTACGGCGTGCGTCATAATCATATCGCGCTTTTTCTTCGTAAATCCCCAGATGTCATTATTGCTTAATATTAATACTGTCTTTTGAACTTGCCGTGCACAAACTTCAAAAAACATTTTTGGTTCATTGCTTGCCGGGCTAGCGCCACGAAAATGGCGAAGGATACCAGCGTAACTCAGCTAACATTATCAACAGTGACGAAAAGAAACGGATAACCAATGTACATTACAATGAAAATTTCAGATGTAAAGAAAGAGAGCGAGATAAAAGCTTGAATGTTGATTAATTAGCTAACTACAGCTATGTTCACGGACATAAGACGGTTTATTGCCACACAAAAGTATGCATCGGTAGGTACAGCATTCCAAATCAGATTGATTCAAGATTCTGTGAGTCCTCGAACGTGTTGTCGCATTTCTTATCGTATTTCTGCACGGGCGTGTGAGACGCGATCAGCCCCGCTGTCACAACTGCCGCGCCGCAAGATAGACGCACTATGCACATCCTTATCAGAACGAAGCGTTGCCATGGCGACAATCGGAAAAGCCACGAGGGAACGACAGGCGCGGTTGTTCGTTTCCGTGTCTGGTTTTGACGCCGGCCGTTTCCGATAGAATTCACCGCTTCGCCGACGCGGCGCAGGAGTGGATGCTTTCCGTCGACGAATGTTCGGTGTGCATCGAACTACTGTGGATACGCCTACCCTCATAGGGCTACTTCAGTACAATTTACCGCAAAGGTGAGTTATTTGCGTGCAAACTTGTCAGGCTGACCTGCCAGTTAGTTGCATTGTAGCTCCCTGGCTCTGAGGTGCGAACGCCGGCGTTGTTATGAAGCAATGCTTGCCCGTTACGTTGGTATTCGAATCTCGCATAAAAGTATTGAGAAAGCTGCTTGTTTCTTTGATACGGCGTTGTCTTGCTGACGCTTCGCTACGCGAGGCATATGCGTGCTCCTGTATCAGTTTCCCGAAAGCTATTTTGACGTTGCGTCTTAAATTTTTTGAGAAGGTGCTGTCCCGAAACAACTCTTACTGACCTAAACACATACTCGCAGTAGTTAAGTAAGGCACATTCGTTAGCGGGTATTGTAAAAAAAAACATAAGTTGGCTCTGACAGAGCTGAACGAACTTCACGTTGCTGTCGCAATTGAGGCCCCCACGTCAAATAAAAGCGTCCGGCCTTTAGGCGATTTCGAATTGTTTGTAACGTACGCTCAACGTTTTTTTTTTTTTGCTACAGAACAATGCGCTCGTAAAAGAGTCGTGGTAACACTTTAGCTTAGCTAACTATCCGTAGAGGCAGATTTCTATCTGCCGGAAACAGCGTGGATGGCAGCCCAGATGATAGAAGGAACGGTATAACGTATGCTGTGTCGTTACGTAGAATAATCATAAATTAGGACCCTTCATTATTTTTTCTTCTTATATTATGGATTTATGAGCAATAGTTCGTGATGAAGCTGTCATGGTGCTACCAATCTGGTAGCTCAAGGTAAGCTCAATTGTAATGTTTCGATTGGGCATCACACTGATGCAACCAGCGCTGCAGATTTTCGGAACGAAAGTACGAACGATACTCTGTTCTAATGTTTGGTGCTTCAATTCGAAAGCAGTGCACGCTCTATTAAAGCAACATCTCGGATTCCAATATGTTCGCCTTAGCTACCTCCCAATCGGTTGAGGCGGGCTCAAGACATTACTGTTTTGAGAATTTATATCTTGGCGCTCCCCTTAATCATTCCTCTCGTAATTTTTGAGCGAGGGCTGAACGATAACCGTTGGCACTATGGCCGAGCGCATTATATCACCAAGAGGAGGCACTGGCTGATATTTAGCGTAATGGTAGCTAATCTCTTTTGTTTCTCGGTAATCATGGCTTGTGTTGATTGATTACTCATAATGCTGATTGTTATTACTGCACTTCTGGCGAATGTCGGCTTGCTTTGCCTTTTCTTAGCTTATAAAACATAGTAAGTGTTTGACCATGTAGTTTTATGGGGGCAATTCTTCTATAAAATAAAGGTTATCTCATAGATATCTGAATTTCGACGTGATTTTGTCACGGAAACGACCGCGTTGCTGGCGTTCGGTGTGAGTGAAAGCACGGCGTTGTCCGTGTACAAAACATCGCGATAGAAGCAACAAATACAACAATTGGGGCCGGATATGAGCACACGCCTAGGCATTCTGAGTATTGCAATCATGTCTTCTAATCCAAGATCCGCGCCAGTGCTTGAAATTGCTTTTTTTTTTAAAGAGCTTTACAGACGTCAAGTATTGAGAGGTGTTGTCATGAACTGATGCAATATTGTCTGTATTGCGTGGCGAAAGCAAGGACATAGCACCGGGTGTCGCCATATGTCAATTGCATAACAAGTTAGTGGTTCGAAATTTCGCAAGCCTATTAAAACCTCAACAATTTTAATATGAATTTAGCAGAGCGAAAAGACACATCATGCACTTAAGAAGGAACACACACAGCGTTGTGTGCGAGTTCCTTCTTTGGTGTTTGCTCGTTTTGCGCCGGTAAACTTGACCTAAAGGGGCGCGGCCACACTTCCCTTTTAGCCATGTAATGGACGCACTAAAGAAGGTTGTTGCTTAATGAATGCACCACCACAAAAAGTTTCAGATCTGCCCTGTACGAGCGCAGTTGCAAAGATTTGTTGCACGCAGTAATTGCATTCTTTATTCGTCCCAGCGAAAGTGCTGGAAGTTGAGCAGGTAGTGGCGGTGCTGGGAAAGGAAATACGTTTCGTGCGTTTAATGACCTTGAGCGCTTTTATATTTTTTTTCTTCAAATACGTGTCATTTTAGTGCGTGTGGCAGTTTAGGCTAGTTGGTATGACATCACTATAGCTATAGCGCGAGACAACGATGACAAAGAGACAACAAGAACTAGCGCTCGTGTCCTTGTCTCTTTGGCGTCGATCTGTTCTCGCGCTATAGCTATAGTCATTTTAGTGCGATCGCGCGGGCACCCGTGTGCAAGTAGCGGCCTCCAGCGGCAAAATCTGTAACGACCAAGCGCGCCATGCTCAAATCAGCCACTGGCTGATGAACGGATGTGACGGGTGAGTTTTGAGCTTCTTCCGTCGTTTGTTGAAAGAAGACGCAGCAATTTTAGGCGATTTCGAGAACATATTTCCAATTCGACGCCGCGTGCTGCGTTATGATATTTGGCTCGCGTGTTCACTGGAGCCACTACTACTGATCTACTACCCTGCAGGCCCCGTAAAGAGTCAAAGGGGCCCTGCGACAACTTTTTAGCATGGTCCGAAACTACTGCCGATCGGTAGTAGAGGCTTCCCAGAACACGCGAGCCAAATAATATAGCGCCGCACGCTGCTTGAAATTTAGAATAAGGTCTCGGTCAGCTAGAGATAGCTTTCTCTCCTCTCGACAGATGACACTGCATGCTCAAATATCTCTCGTCAGATCAGCCATTGGCTGATTAGGTATGGCGTGCTTGGTCGTTACAGAAGCCGCCACTGGAGGCCGCGATTTGTCTACGCATGCGCGCGCTAGCGCACTGAAAAGCCGCGTATTCGCAAAAAAAAAAAAAATGAGTGATCAAGGTCCCGAGGCACACTTAACGTTTTTCTATCTCCGTGCCAGCCCTCCCTGCATAGCTTCCAGCGCTTTCATCGGGATGAGTGAAGAGAGAATGCTATTGCAGCTCCGCTCGTACAGGACGGATTCTGAACAGTTTTGCGGAGGTAAATTTGCACTAAGGTAATTTAGTGAATTCATTTCATGGCTACTTGAAAAAAAGTGTTGCAGGGCACCTTTACACATGAACCAATGCAGCCAAGCAGTAGCTTTAGCATAATTATTCATCATCAGCCACAGCATTATTAGTGTTCAGCTGCATAGGTCCACGCATTTTCTTGCGTACTAGTAGTGTGCTTTACACTTCTTCGACTAATAATAAGCAATTTCGCGGTGCTTGATTCATCACGGTATCCGCAGCAAGATTCGTAGGAGATTTTGGAACGCAATATCTCACTCGCATGACATTCCTTCCCTTACAGTGTAATGGTTTAGGTGTAATCAGAAAAGCCAAGTTCGGCAAGTGAGTGCGAAGGTTATGAGAACACAGCCGGCAATGCGATCACGCTGCAGCCTTACATTCTAAGCTTGACCGCACGACAGCGCACGCCGGGTGAAACGACAAACGCAGACACTCAAGAACAACACAGGCGTTCAGCGTATGTACTGTCCTTTAGTGGATGTTTTGTACGTTTTCACTTGGTGTGCACTTCCATAGACCGCAATGATCAACCAACTTGCTTAAACCGTAATGTACAACCAACTAGTTTAAAGCATACTGATCAACCAACTAGCTCACAAGTAACAACTGGTTTAAACCATACTGATCAACCAACTAGCTCACAAGTACAGTCGTAAGCGAGAATAATACGAACACTGCGCAGTGGGGCCTGGGATGGTCTGAATGATGCAGGTTACGAAGAGATGAATGCTGTTTTGAATGTTTTGATTCCACCTAGCAATTTAAAGCTTCGTTGTAGAGCCAGATTTTACCACATGGTGATACTGCCGTATGTGTTCAATTTCTGCAGCCTCCAGCAAGGCGCTACACAGGTACAGCCTTCAGGCTATTTAGAACACAGTTTTGTTTTGGACGAGGTTTCCGTATGTCGTAGATAGAAAATTATCAGTGTCATCAGCCTACATGCGGTCATTCCCTAGCCAAGTACCAAGGAAGGCTGAAAAATAAAGAAGCGTTAACAAAGGAAGCTGAAACGTGCTACCCTGTTTTGTTGTTTGCTTCGTATGTGTTCCTTTAATTTTTAGTGCATCATTGTCGTGAGTACTGGGATTTTCCAACTACTGCGACAGATTGCTATGGAGATAGCAAGCGTATTGGTGTAAAGTATAATATTGCAACGAATAGGAAACAGAAGTGTAACCGTAAAAGCATGGCCAAGCCAGGACCAGGTAAATGCCAGAATTTATGCCATGACCCAGCCGTGTAAGGCTCAGTACAAGCTGCTATTATTTTTTTTTAAATTCGCAGAAGTATTGACACCAGGTTTAGGTGGTGTTACTATTGATTAGGGGGGAAGAAATCAGCAATGTAACAATCAGCTCCGCTCCTTTTTCTAAGGGTGCGATTTTCGTATATCAAACCTTGTGTATCATTCGCTTCAACTTCCACCGATTAGCTGGAGCTCGGCGAGCAGTGCATCTTCTGCTTCTCGTTCTTCTTTCCGCAACGTGATTTCATCGTCATGAAGCTTTCCCAACTCTTGACGCGAATGAGAGGGCCAGATTGCACTTTACGACAACCAATGCTGCCCCCAGAGATTCTCTTTTGGACACGAATCTCGAAGGTCATGCACAAACTCTAATCATGCTAGCCCTTGAAATTAGGCTTTACGCAGCTCCCTCCCGAGCCACTTGCAAGATTGGCACGCATTCTCGGCATCGTTCTCAAACCTGTTAATATCTTCATACGCAACTTAACGGAGACGCACGAAAAACTAAAGTGCAAAAGGAAGGCACCTGGACAGAACGCACACTAACACCTGAGAATTGATCGGAACAAACAGACATATATAAGCGGTGTCGTGAACACGTGCAGAAGTGATCAGATGAGCAGCCAGATTGTAATGATGACGCGCTTTCTGAAATCACGCGTGTCCAGATGTCGTCCTTTTGCTCTTCAGTTTTTTTTGTGCACCTCAGTTAAGATAAATTACTAACTCGCCCATCAGTGCGTGCTTGTGAAGTTCATACGCAAGTTCACCCACGTCAAGTATGTGTTCTGGTATTGTACATTACCTCCACATTCTTCCTCTTTAGGCTTGGCATATGCTGGCGAGCTCGATGCATTTACGTGGTCCAGAACAAGATGACGTCACAGCTCACTACTTTTTCAAGTAACTGTATATGCTCCACCAAGTGGATGTGCCCACTAGGTGGATACACATAAATAGCTCCTATGCACCACGTGATTACGTGGGTAGTGGTGACAGAACGTCTCAAAGAAAATGGTGTAAGAGGCGTCCGCATGATGATTTAGCTTTCTGCTCTTGGGCATCGTGCAGCCGAACTCGTACATATTAGAAAAACACCACTCACACAAGCCTTAAACTTAGAACTGATAACGTGCCCCCCCTTACCCACTACCATGCCCCGTGTTTAGTGGTTAAACGTGGTTCTGTTGTAATATCCCTCTGGTGTGTTATGTAGAATCTTGCGAGCCCAGCACATGAGCATGTCGCTAGAAACCTCGAACATCTTTTTAGGAGATACTAGGATGAGGATATCAAAACGGAAATTAAGAATTTCGGTGCTCCAACCTAATACTGTTGGCCCAAACCCTGGGTTATTGTCCATTGACGCACGGAACGTTTGACATTCATGATATAGCGCCTTTAATAGAGCTACGAGAAGCAAGGGTATGTTTTAGTTCGCATTTAGTTGCTTCCTACCTTTGTGTTAAACATCCCCCCTTTCTCTTTTCATCTTTTTCATCACAGTGTGAGCGCTGGCGATTCTGGCACTGCCAGAAAGAGCACCCTCTAGCTTGGCGCTCTCACACTTGGCGTAATATTGCGCTGTTTGAGCCGGGAGCATGATCCTTCAAGGCGTGTCCAGTCGCTGCTTGCAGGCTTTCGCTACCACATAATACATCAAGAAAAGGTAGTCCGATCTGTTGGGTGATCGCCTAGGGTGACTGGAAGGGGCGAGCACTTTTTTGCTTTGTTTCTTCTTCATCAATGTCCGCCGAGGTGAAGCAGTGGCTGTGGTGTTCGGCGGTTGACCCGTAGGTCACGTGCTTGATCCCAGCCACGCTAGTTCTATTCCGACGGAGGTGAATCGGCAAAGGTCCATGTTCTGTCTGTGTACGTTAAAGAATCGCAGGTAGTCTAAATTTCCGGAGCCCTTTTCTACTGCGTCTCTCGTGATCATATTGTGGTTTTGGAACGTTAAACCTCAAATGGTATTATTCTCCTTCCCACCCGAAAGCTCTCCAAGTCCTACGTGACTTTGTAATGTACCAAGATCGCTCCACCTTTGACCAAGTGACGCTTCGAAATGCGATGTGGCCGTGGCATTTGAAGTTTACATTTTATGTCACTAGGATGCCACAGGGTATTGTCATCCCATGATGCCTTTTCGCATAACTCATGTTGACGCCGCTGATGGTCACCTCTCATGTTTTATGAGACACGTCAAGCTTTCGCATTAAAACCCACAAGAAGAAAGACATTAGTTGTGGTCTGTGCAGAACCACAGACAGCGCAACGCCTGGTGGGGCATTATGAGGCCATTTTGTAATTATACCGTGGTTTTGGCGCACGAAATCTAAGAACTTACACTTCTGTGTACTGTACTACTATTCGCCATAAGGTGAAAATTTTGACAATTTTTTTTCTTTCGAAGGCTCACGTATCCGAGAACTGGGGGAAGAAGCCAAGCCACAAGCCTAGTCTGAGAGCGTTGAAACTCCAGGGTGCGAGAAGAACACACATGGACTCTTCGCTGATGTACCGGGGTCTCCCTGGTGGACCTACCAAGATCAAGTTCGCTGAAGAACTACCTCGCCATTGCCTCTGTGGTCACTGTGGCATGATTACGCTGTCCATGTATCAAGACCCCGACAATCATATGTTTTGCGATGACTGCCTGCTTGAGCAAAGTACGAAGCATGGCGTGTATCACATATTCTGCTCTTATGAATCCAGAAACATCGCCATTCATGAAGTAAGTATTCGTCTATTTCATATCCTAAATGGTACGAAACAAATATTTTTATTCTGTATAAATTGTGGATCAAAAAAAATCCGCGGTGAGCCTCTTTTTTGGGGGGAGGGGGGAGAGGGGGAGTATCACGTCATACGTGAGACCAATAGGCAGGGAAAGTGTTCTGCACTCGCCATCATGGCTACTAGCGCCGCTGACTGATGCTCCCACATTTCATGCACACACATACTCCATTATGTAGACGGGGGGCGGCTTCTGTGGTAGCTCAGTCGGTGGAGCGTCGGATGCAATATTCAAAAGTCGCAGCTTTGGTCCCTGCCCTCAAGAAATTATCTTTTCGTCAGGTCTGATTTCTTAACATTTACACTACGATTACATGTCCCCCCCCCCCCCGTACATTACTTGCCTTTATTGTCTGTAAGTTTTTTTTAGGTGCACCTTAAAGAATCCAAAGTGCTCGGAATTTCCGGAGTTCTCTACTATGGCGTCTCGCATAATCATATCGTTATTTTCGGGTGTTGAATTCCCAAAAGTGTTATTTCTTAGATGGTTGTTAGTGTATAATAAAAGGCACACGTGGCTCATTTTTCGTAAAGAACAGATGACTAATTTGCTTGCTATTGATTACACAAAAAGTATTCTACTTCGATTTCTGTTTTTCCTACAGATGTTCGAAGCTCGGGACCTCATAACGATCATTCGTGATCAGTACGTGGAATGTCCAAATAAACCGCATTGCAAAGAATATATGCCCCTGGGAAATCTGCGCGTAAGTTTGCGTGCTATGTTTGGCTGCGATTTTGATGCGTATCTTACGTGGCAAAATGTTCGAGCACACGACACTCGCGTTGTGCGCAGGTGGGCGGTTGCATAGATAAAAAATTCAATTTGCTCCATCACACGGCCTATGAGTGCTAAAGGTGGTCGCGATACGGTCACCATATTAAGCGCCCCCTACTGCGACATGCGTTTTTATCATGTAGTGGCTTTGGCGCGTGAATATTCGAGAATATTATTGGTTACCAATGAAAGTACACTCTTTATCACTTTACTACTAGACGTTACTATGCTATTGCACTTATATTATCATCCTCGTTGCTAAAAACTAAAGCTATAGGGAAAGAAAAGCATGAAAAAACAAGCACTCGTCCTGTCTGTATCTCCCTTTGTCACCATGGTTTTGGCTTTGCGTAAAGGTCATTCTCAACATTGCTTCCATCAGCAACAAACACCGCATAAGAGCATCATGACTGTGTCATTCTAAGATAGTAGAACAGTTATTTCTATAGGCACCATAAAAACTTTAACTGAAGCCGATCTCAAGGAACTCGATGGTGGGGGCCGCTCGTCAAATGCAGGGAATTATGTTGCAGACGGAAAAAGTGTTTTATTGTTGTAGCCGGGAAAACTACTACATAAAAATTGACTGACCTCAGTCACAATTACTTCTTGCACATAAGGCACATTAACAAAAGAGTAAAAAACGATTAAAAGTTGTTTCGAGTGTAAATAACAAAGAAAAAAGCTTGTCGTCGTCTTCGTTTGTCTTTGTATTTATTATTCTACGCTGTCGTTAAGTGGCACAAGAAGGGTTTTAGGATGTGGTGCATCATGTTTGCCTTGTAAGCGTTGTTGTCTCACGTTTTATTAATAAAGCACTGACTAGTTGACCCGTCGAAATAGAGTACGATAGGCAGGAACGCCAATCACGCGCAAAGCAACAAACTCCCGGGCATCTCTTCTTTCTCCTCTTTACTACAGCGTTGAAATTTAAAACATCGGTACAAACTATTACCAGTCACTAGTTTCCAATATTGTTGTTTTCAAGGCGAGCTCACACATTGGCATTTGTGCGTCAAGGTATATTCTTTGAGTTAACTTTGTGTTGCTCCGTGCTACTCACCTAAATCTCTGAGGCCGCGCAGACGGATGCGGTTGGTTAGGATCTTCTACGCCACATGCCGCTACGTTTCTAGCCTCTGACGAGAAAGCCATCTGTTCCTCGTTTCAATGAGCTCATTTGATCATATTTCACTAGTCCAATTAACATATTGTTATATGACGGATGTTATCTAACGCATTCTTATGCTCAGATGTCATGTCTAATAAACAGGACTCTTAACATGAACCGAAATAATTGATTTTAGAGCACTTTAGTAGATCTTTTTTTAATATTCGGGATAGCAGAAGTGAGTGGCTTACCGTAAATGTTTGGGAGAGAAATAAGAGTGTCTTGGTCTTTACTCATTTAATTCAGTATAAGGCAAACTGAAATAATTACCTGAACAGTTAGCGCCACCCTTGCCGCATCACTAAGAAGATGACGGCATGGGCCTGCGTTTATGGCTTTTTTCTCATGTTTGTGCATCTGCTGCACTGAATATACGTGAAGTAATATACATTTGTCGTAGTGGTAAGACTCCGGCACATACCATGAAACTGCCATATGCATAATGCACAAAAAGCTTGAGTTTGATGGTGCTGATGACGGTTAAACAAGACACCTAGTCAAACTATGGCGAAGGAAAATATTGGGGCCTTGGCAACGCAACAGTAATGCATCCTTCAACTTTGTCCATCTATCAGGAACACTACGTTTCTTGCAAGAAGCTCGTTGAATGTCCCAGCTGCGGCGAGAGCATTGAGACCGAGAAATGGAATGGCCATCGTTGCCCCTCGGAGAACGAACAAGCCGTATCGAAAGCAAAAGAGAAAAATGGAGCTTCTATGAAGTTGGTTCAGGTAATCACTTAATTCTTTTGTGTTCCACAATTGTGATTGATGTGTAATGTTCAATGATTAATACAAGCCCCAGTGGTCTGTAGTAGTGCTCGAATCGAGTCACCGACCCCCGTCATCAGACTAACCTCAAGGGAGCAGAATGGTCTTGTAGGCTGCATGTTTTTATTTTGCGATGGTCAAAAGTAGGCTAAGAATTATCATGATAGTAGAAATGAAATTACATGAGAGCTCGAGCACATACATTACTTTGATACCATCCGATTCTGTTGAAACAATGTAGCCAAAAAGAGTATGTTGAGTCGGTCCAGTTGAGACGCTCCTGTAAACGCAAGTCTGATGTTTCGTATAGTCAACAATGTGTTCTTTTAAACCGAAGATCTATATTTCTAGTAAGCTCATTCGTTTATCTCTACGTCTTAAATAGCAACTCTGCTGCTACTACCCTGAATACAGTATTGAAAAAATTGCGTATTGCGTGAAAGAGAGAAAGAGCCATTCTTAGGTGGTAAACTCTTGTGTTCGAGAAGATAGGTGAGTGAGATTCTTAGTCCGGATCCAGTTGGCGCGAACCGCTGTTTTGGAAAAATTCAAATGAACCCTTGGCGCCTTGTATGACGTAAGGAAAAACTGTTTCAGCGTTAGGAAAGTGTTTCTACTGCTGTAGTTTGAACCACTGGAAATCTTCCCACCCGTACATCAGTGTTAAAACTCCACAAACCACTACGCCAATGTTGTTTATCAACCTCTTTCACAGAGTTTTATGATTAACGAACGTGTAGTAATCCGAACTTTACTGACAGTGCAGGGATGTAATCTGTCTATTCATATTGCGACCTGGAAATCGCAATTGGTCAAAAATTTGAACCACGTCAACAGTATTAGAAGTAAGATTTTCTATTAACCTTATGTGTGGTCGAGGTAAGCAGACATTGCACTCACTAAAACTGGTATTCAACACATTTCCTATCCCGATTGGCGTGGTTCTTTAGAGGTTAGCCATGAAGCATTATGGACACTAATATACTCTGTGCCTCAGCAATAAATCCAGAAATTTTCACTGGAGGCTGGGAGAAGGGGGTAAACTAAACTAGCTATATTTACTCCGTGCTTAAATTGTGCGCGCGCGCATGTGTGTGTGTGTGTGTGTGTGTGTGTGTGTGTGTGTGTGTGTGTGTGTGTGTGTGTGTGTGTGTGTGTGTGTGTGTGTGTTTGTGTGTGTTTGTGTGTGTGTGCGTGTGTGTGTGTGTGTGTGTGTGTGTGTGTGTGTGTGTGTGTGTGTGCACCTGCATTACTGAAAAAAATATTGGGCAGGAGTGCGGAACTCCCGGCCTTTTCATCCCCCTGGCAACGCCAGTGCCACATTATCAATGAAATGAAACGCACGCATCGTCATTCGTCATCCTTTTTGTTGTGTTCAGCCTGCCTTTTCGCACCACGCTAAGTTATCGTGAGCACCTACGATGCTAGAAGTGCTAGAATTATACTTTCCTAGCCCTCAGCTGAAGTCGCGCGTGAGTGTCAATGTAGTACAAAAGTGTCGATGCATTAGCGATAGGTCATCCAGCCACATCAATGAACATTTTGAAAAAGAAGCGTACGAGAAAGCAAAGCTTTCAGCGGCAATGATACTACTTAGTTATTGAACAATGTCCGCCACCACTTATGGGAGTGAATAGCGTATTATTCCTCATTAAAAGCAGTACAAAGTAGAATGATAAATGGTTATGACGTAATAAAGCAGTTGTATTCAAAGTTTTGCAACGAGTGACGTGATCAAATGCTACCTAAAAACCTGTTTATATGTCATCGACTTGAAAACATTTATGTAAAGATTGCCCTTCTGCAACAAGCATTGCGATCAGCGGCGTATAATAAATGCGCGAAATTTAAATACAAAATTACGCACACAACTTGAAACGTATGGAAGTGGTAGAATAAGTCACGGTATTCCAACACTTGATTTTAAATACTACGTGAAAGGCAAGCGGGTTAGGGGGAGGCACAAGGTTAGGTGGGCAGATGAGATTAAGAATCTTGCGGGTATAGATTGCCAGCAGCAAGCACAGGACCGAGTTGACTGGTGGAACATGGGAGAGGCGTTTGTCCTGCAATGATGTTGATGATGATGATGATGACTACGTGAATAATTATTTGAGGTATCTGTGGTCTATTATACTGTATTTCTCTTCGTAAACTAAATTCAACAGCATTCTTAATTCACAGGCCATACTTATCTTCTGGCAATAAGTTTATCTAAAAATGTATGAAAATACATATTTCGAAATTTTTGCCGTGACGCGAGAGTTTTCTGCATCGTTCAGCTTTTCGTTGTTTTTCTTGTATTTTTCAATATTTTTTACGTTGTGCATTGGTCTTTGCTCTAAACAATTATATAACAATTTGTTTGGTATACACCTTTTCGTAGAAATTTCATACGGATTTTATTTCATCTTTTTTACATACTGCACGTTTTATAGTTTTTATGTGCATTGTATAAAGATTGGCCTTTTCCGCTACATTAACATATAGGATCATTTTCCACTTATTTAAATACTATAATAGTCATAGGGAACCCTTTCACAATTCGTGCTGAGTTCAGGCATCTCAACTGTTTAAATAATACACATTTTACTCTGCGTTTCAATCAAACTTGTTGATTGATTTATTTACGTGCCACATTTATTGTTTCGTTAAACGGGTTGCTAGCTTCACCTAAACAATATTTTGTAGCAAAGCATTTCGATCAAAATTCATAGAAAGAAACCTAATGTAATGTGTCTGGTTCATTTACGAATAGCTCAATGCTTGTGTTTTCTTTGTCAGCAACAGTGCACAAAATTGGTCGAAGTAAAATGTCATAATAAGCCCGTGACGTCGCGGAGGGTTAGCAGCTGTTATTTATTGAAAAAGTTGCATTACACAAGTTAACACCACAAGAAAGAGGCATTGGTAGTACAAGTAATACAGAACAAGTGGCCTGCTATACCCTGTGGGTGTGTTTATGATGTGTTTTACGACTTTGTGAACAATTATATTTAATAAAATGGCTTGATACCCAGAAAGGCACCAGAAATTTCATGCCTTGAATACAACGCTTCATTATCCCTGCTTAGAAGTGCCGCTCGAAAGAAGCATTGATTGATATGTGGTGTTTAACGTCCCAAAACCTCCATATGATTATGAGCGACGCCGTAGTGGAGGGCTCCGGAAATTTCGACCACCTGGAGTTCTTTACGTGCACTCAAATTTGAGCTCACGGGCATACAACATTTTCGCCTCCATTGGAAATGCAGCTGCCGCCACCTGGATTTGATCCCGCGACGTGCTGGTCAGCAGCCGAGTACTATAGCCACTAGACCACCGCGGGGGCGCCTCGAAAAAAACAGGAGAGTCGAAAGGCTATGTTGACTCCTCTGGCATGCAACCAGTATCGGAAATGGGATATTTGAATAATTTTGAGAATGTTCTGAGCTTTGCGCTTCACAATAAGCGTATGAATCTGTCAAGAAAGCACTGTCATGCATGCTCACATTTTTGCTGGTTCGTCAATTGCGCAACACTTCATCTGTGTTAACTAATGATCGGCAAAAAAGTATGGAGCTCACTCGGACACCAAGAAGAAATATAAATAATTCGCGCTTAGGGCTCATTAGCATTAAGAATTGCCAATAGTTTGCTCACCTGAACTCTTGGCCACAGACTCACCAACATTATTCTCAACCGGGCTTGCTCAGACCCAAACCTACCGAAGAATTACTCACTGACCCAGTCTGACTTACGGTTCGGCCGAAGTCTGAGTTAATCGACCCCTCAGTGAGCTTGGTGACTCAAGGTGTCAGTGAGTTGATAAGAATGTAATTATATGAATAATACTAATACTACTATATTCACAACACTGATTTCTTGCAGGACCCAGAAAGTAAAGGAAATCAGAAGCGTTTGGTCTTGCACCCACCGCAAACCCATTTTGAGACAAGGGCCTACCGGAGACATTGTGACCGCCAAGCTTTAAATATTTATACATCTCCTAGTGAAACTCTAGGTCAGGCTGAACCTGCAGTTCCACGACGAGAGTGGCAAGTTACGTGTGACACACGTGGCACAGCTCCATCGGTGCAGGTATGTGCAGGTTGTCAAAGCTGTCTTAGACCTCTGTTGCAGTATTAGCCTGTGTAGTAGTAAAGTATTCGCAAAATCTAACAAATTTGGAAAGATGATTTAGCTGAGCATTAGGTTGCCTGCACTTGTGATCGTCGACTAGATAAGATTAAGGTTATCCCAAGATTATCAGCGGTCCTTCTATGAGCTCATACTGTGAAGCAGCGTTTCTGGCTGTGCATAAGAAATTTAGCGCCTCATAGTAGGTTTCCAGCGTATGGCCTTCAACCAAGAATTTCACCTTGTGTTACAGCATTTCCTATTCAGCACTTCTGCCCATACTTTCTTGTGAACACGTCTGTTTCGCGTAAGCGTGGACAGTTGCAAGCTAATCTCGTTGTTGATTTCTTTAAAAAGCTTTGTTGTAGCATGCACCCAAACACGAGCAGAATGCACGTATGGGCACCACACGGCGTTGTGTGGGGTCAATATGCACCTTCCCGTACCCAAGTGTCTTTTCACTCTGCACCAAAGCTCTTTCAAATGTTTCGCGTAACATTCCGTTTTTAAGTGGTAGTGAGAAGGGGTAGGGATAGTACTACTAGTAGAGGTAATGGTAGTTAGCAGTCTGCAGGAAACGTCTAGTGGCTTCATTGGCTCAAATGGCCGATCAATTCATCTCGCTTTGACGAGGTATGTGTGAGCATGTACACATTTAATATAGCGGGATATTTGACATCGTGTGATCCCGCTTGCCAGTCATGTAGGAAAGATAATCGAGCATGAGCAACTTTGCTGTGTGACTATTTCCATGGAGTGAATGGACCTTAGATTTAAAAAAAAACGCCTCTATGCATGAGCGTGTTCATCCTTACGATTTCGGAAATCATGCATCAACGCTAAATACGTCGTGCACACTATTCGTTCCACTACTCTTAGCACCCGAAAAAAATACCTTACTTTCAGTAGTGAACTGTTGCTTGTCTGTGTGCTCAGATTTGGGTGCACGTTAAAGAGCCCCAAGTGGTCGAAATTTCCGGAGCCTTCCACAACGGCGTCTCTCACTATCATATGGTGGTTTTGGGACGTCAAACGCCACATATAAATCAACCAATCACACATATTGTTTTGCTGCCTTATAGCAGGTCATTCGTACAAAAAGCGTTCTCTTCTTTTGTGATCAGTGATGTACATCCTACTGGTCGTAAAGCAATACTTTCACAATACTCGCGTACCAGATCCATGTGTTTTCTTGTCATATGAACTACATGTTGTACGTTTCAATACCAAGTTTGTATTTTTAAAAAGCCGTAATCGGTCTTGTTCAGCTGTAACTGTCTTGTTCTGCAGAAGTTTAGGCTCATATTACGTCAGCTGATTCATAATAATAAGTGCAGCAGTAAAAACAAAATAACGAATATTACTCAAAATGAACAATCGGTGCCTGAAGAAAAAACACCTTTGTATGTCATCTTATTTGGACCTCTGACTACACAAAATAAACTAACAACCTTAGCTGACTGATCCGTCGTGCATTTTTTCGTTCTTCCTAATTTTTTACTTCTTCTACAGTTAGTAATTTTCTTTCGATGTGAAATATTTTCTTGGAAAAATTTTGCAAATCTAAAGTGGTCCACCTTACACCCTCTTGAGGTTATGTCTTGCAACTATGCGTTGTTTCGAATATTCCGACGAGTGATCAGATGTCAATAAAGCTGCTCTTCACTGAGAACCACAAGACCACGCATAGTTTTTGCTCTCAGAACTTAAAGTAGCGGGCTTCATCCCGACTGTAGCAGTTGTACATTCCCAGAGGCGAAATATCAGAGCAACGCATTCTGTATGATTTCAGCATGTGTTAAAGAGCTTTAGGTAGTAAAATATCAACCCCCCTTTACCACGTGCTTCATAAACACATTGTGGTTTCGTCTTGTCAAATTCATGATATTATCATTAACATTCTTGCTTTCGGGATTCCTGTTGTTTCAGAACAGCAATGGAAAGAACCAATGCCCTGAAGCAACGCCTCTGTGCCAATATTGCCAGCGGAAGGTTAAAGAGATCAACATGCAGCGTCACCTGAACAATTGCACCAAAGCTCCTAAACCTTGCGTCTACTGCGACAAGATGATTCTCCCTGAAATAATGCAGGTGAAGGCGCGTTTAGACTCGTCTCGTATTTGTCAAAAGTGCCGTATCGCGTAACATTCTTATCTTCCGTTTGCATAGCTAGGGACTACATGCGTTAACATTAGTCTTTAAGGTAGGATAAGTTGGTTACGAGCACCAGTCACCACTCTTAGTGGGCATTGCGTACTCACTGCAGTTTTTCCAGCCTACCAAGGTATATGTGTATGGGTGAATAAATCAGTGATGGCCTGAAAGGGAGGCGTGTCGAGTACTCTAATGCACGTCGCGTCTGCCCTTAATCTGGCAAACCAACTGCACAGCCACGCTCCATCCGCGAAGACCATTCGCGTCGTTGCTATCTTATTGGCGCCCCCTGATGGAGAGTCCACACAGCCGCCGTGCTGAGATTTCCTGCGTGGTGCCAACCGGGTACGAGCTACGAAAGGCCCGCCATTCGACCAAGGATACCACAGCCAGTTTTACACTACAGCTCTTGCAATGGAGTCTGTACAATCTTGCATGGTCTGCCACAGTCCGAGGCTCGACTCTAATTTGTCGACGCCGAGCAGAGGCCTCGTTAACCAAGAAGGCTTCGTAAAGTTCATAAGATAAACCAAATTTTTTAAGACTTATATGATCACTGTAGAGCGCTCACTTTTTAATTATTCTCCTAACTGTGTACCCGTTTCTGTTCTTGCTGTGGTGACCATGAATTCTAATCCTGATCTGCTTTTGATGCTAAAGTAGGTTAACTCAATTATGTTGACGGTGGCCTCTCACCCTTCATTTCAGATGCATTTTCATGAGTGCGATCGAAACCCCGACAATATACCGCAGGTAAATATCTTCAGTATTTCATCATCCCCTTTTCGTTGTTGAACTGGAAAGGCTATATTGCCCGTCGAATCAATCAAGACATCGAGTTAGGCAGGAAGGAGGTTCCGCACTGACTTCCACGTTAACATAAGTGGTGTTGTCCCTGTAGAAGTGTCACACAAACAATTCGCATGTATTGCACTCCTGGTCAGAAGGCAAAGGGGCGTTCATGTAATTCGTCTTTGTGGAGGTCAGGAAGAAATGGGAATGCGTAAGAAATGCAGTGCGTAGGCTGTTAAGAGTGATAGACTCAATGTTAAGAGAGCGCAATTTTAGTTTCCGAATTTTTAAACTGCAATTTGTAGCCTTTCTTCTGATATTGCAATGAAATTGTAAGTGCTCTAGCATATCATCTAGTTAAGGCTAAAACTCTTAATTCGGAAAACTAAGCGCTGACTTTTCAAATCTCGCGTGGGAAAGAATTCAACCTTATGGGTGTTTTGAGCATATCATCTTCCAAAAAAAAAACAATGTCATAGCTTTCGTTGAGTGCCAGCGGTAGTTTAGTGGGCGCCCAGTGTATGTGCTGTGACATCGACAATATTCGCTCTGTTTTTGAAGGTGCGGGGAGTCACAAGAGGCCTCTATCTACGTCGTGCCAGTTACGATATCGCGAGGTGCTGAAAACTTATGAGCACTCTCGCATTTTATTCAAACAAAATGAATGTATCTGAAAGGCAACGTTCGTTAGTCATAATTCGTCAGAAGTGTCCACGGATGCAGGACTCTCAAACACAAACATCTTGCGTATCCAAATTCAGTGTCAGGGGTCCCATTAAAAGTTTGCGAGAATAACGGGGTCGCGGCAAGTACATGATAAGGTTGATTGGCGGTATATAGAGAGGTTTGTGTTCTGCAGTGGGTGCACTCAGGCTGGTATTGATGGAGATGATGTTGATGGGGACACTCCTAAAAAGCAATGTGCTATGATTCGGCCTGCACACTCACTCTGCATACTTTATTTTATGAATTGGTGTAATGCTTGACTGGCTTTCCTTTGTGTATGGTAGTAAGCCGCACGCTTTCATTCCGTTCAGCCTCTGTTATTTCTTGTATTTATCTCCCTGTGGCTCATTTATTGACTCAAATGAGTCTTGCATGCCATTGTTTGTATGATATTTTCTTGTTTGCTAGGAAATACGAAGGCTTTCACTGATAGTTTTGTTACACGCCAAATTTACGTGCCAGCAAACAGCGTGTGTTTGCCTGTGCTACTTAATTTAGTATTCTTCACATACACTTACACAAACACACACACACACACAAGCTCAGGTGCACCAGACAAAATGTTGGTAGAAATAAACAGTGCTAAGATGGACCACTTGGTTACTAGCTTGATGAATCATAGTTGAATTGGCGACCACAACGGGTAAGTAAAGAAGAGTAGATGCAGGACGAACGTCAATGTGAAATATTGTTTACTTCAAAAAAAGAAAGAAACGCATGCAGCAAGAGCTGTACAAATACGAAAGAAACAATACTGTGCATTTTGTTGAGTAGAATATCAAAAGAGAAGTCCTCTGTGGCCTAAACTGACACTGAACAACCTGTACTGCACCGCAAATTGTGAGACATTTTCACGAGTTATATTAACTCATTGCTTTCATGCCTCATATTTGGAAGACCTCTTTTATTACTGCGAAAGCTTCGTACAATGCTCTTTCATGCTGCGCCTTAAAAGTTCTATGAAATAATTGTCGGTAAACGCTGAAGTGCACAAGGACATTTTACTTTAGTTACCTAGTTTGTAGTGTGAAAAAAGTTATGTAAGGCTTAAACGTGTCTTCTACAAGACAAATGTGGCAATATACACATGAAACGAAGTAATTGTGCCACTTGAATACAATCTGATTAACTATAGCCACAGGATTTTGAATAGATAAAAGATTGTCCACTAAAGGCACGTGGCTGACTTGAGCTCCGAGATATTACTACTACTAGGTCACAACCTATGGCGACATTGTCAGCTTCTCCCACAGCCATGCCTCAACGAAGCCCCCCTTAAACAGTTTTTGCGTAAAAGCTTTGTTCAATAGCGCTTGTTCATTTTTTGACGTGAAACATCTTTAGTGTGCTTTCGATAGCCACATTCCCCTGTAGAGTCATGTTAGAGTCACTGGTGGTATTCCAGAGGAGTGAACCTTTTGGTAGATTTCCTCAGACCCTTGCAATCAATACTCGCCCTCTCCACTTCTCAAATCAAATGCTTTAGATGGCAAGAAGAACTTGTAATTTTCATATGTTCATCGTGTACGCCAAACAGGAAAAAGTATTTACAGCTGCTGTTAAAGCGAGCTAATATCTCTCAGACGAAGGGCAGGTGCATTGCGTTCCTGGGAATTAAGTTATAGCCTAGGTTGGGTTAGGATAGGTTAGGTTAGGTTAGGTTAGGTCGGGATGGGTTGGGTTAGGTTAGGTTAGGTTTTGCTTAACTTTTAACCAATTCTGAAGACAAAGCAAACCATTGTACATGTCTGTGTTACAAAAATGTTTTTGAAAAGCTGTTTTCACTCGTTTACTCTTACAAATGAGCATGTCATTAATTACGTTTGGAGCTAAAAAGTATAGTCACATAAGTAGAGTAGAGATGATCGTTTCCAATCATTTTGCGTGTTGTTTGATCGTGACGCTCACTTAGACGGTCACGTATTATTATGACCCCAACGCACACCAGGAACTTTTCTCGCTGTGACCTTCTAATTAGGTGCCCCGGCACTGCCCATTTCGGACACCGGCTGTTGGCACTAGCTCAGTGAGTGGGGCGCCCCGTTTCTGGTTCCTCCGCAGCGTTATTTGGACGTCACCGAGCTTTCACACCTTTCCACACAAATCAGAGCGATGAAATGTATTTATATGCTACAAAGACAGCTTCCTGAGATCCACTTTTAGCGCTGCGATTCTCTGAGGCCGTGCATAACCGCCAAATCTGCGATTGCGTTAGCTCTTGAAATAACTTTATAGCAGCCACCCATCTAATTCACTTGTAAAGGTCGGTTAGCAATCCTTGCATTATTATCATGCATCTGGGACATGCTCCTATGCAAGGACAGGCTTGTGAAGTCTTTCTGAGTTCCCTGTTATGCTACACTTCATCCGCTGTACATGTTTAAGCGTTGTCGTATGTTAGAGTGTGTTGTTCAGGTTCTGTACATCGACGTCGTCAAGAGCGTAATGACGTTGCTAAAAATCGCTTTCATGAGTAACTGAATGCACTCCACCAAAATTCACTTGTCTATTAGGTGCACATATTACTGTGAAGCGATGCATATGACTTCTTTGATTATGAGGCATCGCAGGCATAATAAAGAGAACTATCAGATACTAACAAGAAAGTTTGATGACTATTACCCCAATCAAGGTAATGACACTCATGAACGGCATGTTTCGTATGCGAGTTCAACATTCAGCGCAGCCATTCGAGCATTTTGCGAATACTTTAAGAGTGGGAGTGAAGCTGTCCAATTTCGCCACCCTTGATGAGTCTCTGGTCAGGCGCGAGGTTGTCTTCAGAACTAATTAGTAATAACAAATCTGTCACAAAAACAATACAGCGGGACCAAGTATTTAACCTTTTAAAGGCTAAATAAATTGCCCGCAGCTTCCCTCGGGGGAACACTGAGGAGGATGCGGAGCATATAATTGGTAAACGGGGTGTTAAAGTGCGACTTACTTGGGTCGATGGCTAAATTGGTTAACGTGGTTGTGAAATGGGGTGTTAAATTGCGACTTACTTGGGTCGATGGCTAAATTGGTTAACGTGGTTGTAGGAGGGGGTGTTAAATGAGTGAACACGTACACACGTATGCGAAAGGGCGGCGCTGGTCGAAGGGACGTCGATCATTGTGTTTGTGGATTCGTTGGAATTCATTTCACCGCGACCTTGGACGTCGACGCGCCGTACAAACCAACCGACGAGCGGCAACTGAGCGAGCGAGCGCCGACCTTGAGTATATATACAGCTCGACGGCGCATGCACTGTCAGCTGTTGAATGTTCTCGAAGCGCGACGCCACATGCGCGTCCACTGGAGAATCAGGAGAATTGTAGATGTCGAACGCGGTGTGTAGAGGAGGAAGGGTGCACAGATGGTGGAGGAGTGAAGCACGCGCGGTGTGTAGAGGAGGAAGGGATGCACAGATGGTGGAAGAGTGGGCGACGGCGCGACGGCGCATGCGCGCGCGTCAGCTGTCAAATGTTTGAGAAGCGGTGCGGACGGCGCGGACGGCGCGGACGGCGCACTACAAGGCGCGAGTATAAGATGCTTCCGCATCTAAAACATCTGCAAAGCAGGATAAGATGTGGCGCAGCAAAATGCCGTTTGGGCCAGCAGCCCACGCAAGTCGATGTAGGGTGCCAGAGTGAATGCTGCAAAGAAAAAAAAAGAGCAGACGCAAAGTATTTATTCATGTGCATGCACCACACCGATTCCCAGCCTTTACAAAACCACCCAACCAGTTCCACAAAGCACATGAAATGGTCAATTAGCGCTGAGGATTAGCCTGACTCTATTGACATTTGGCTTGTGTTTGTACGAGCCGAAACGGTGGGTTTGCCTTTTTTCGTTAGCGCTCGGCTTGTGTCTGAGTCTTCCATTGTCGACGGTTACTTCCCATTCACTGGCGTTGTGACACTGCATCTCTTTTCAGTAGATCTGCGTCTAACTACTGGCAGTAGTTTCGCTATGGCACTGCTAGCTCGGCAGATGACTTGGCGCTTCGATGAAGCAGGCGTCTGCGGGAAAGCAAGCGCTGGCGTCCCGAACATGTAGGCTTCTCGACGTCCACGGCGTAGAAACAGACTTTCGTTTGGGACAAAATGGCGCCCTTATATGGACTACTCTGGCACTGAATCGGTCAAAAGTGCTAGCTTTCGGTCTTTTGGCCTGTGGGGGTTTTAAGGTGACCTTTAGCTCAATCTCCTGATGTATTCAGTATTGACTTAACTGCAGGGCTTATTTCCGAC